CTAAAGGACAGTACATTCATCTCAGTGTGGGCCAAGAGCGTCAAGATCGGCCAAGCATACTATGATGCCCTGGATAAACTGTCTCAAGGTGATATTTCGAGCGCTTCCGCTACCGCCACAGACCATGAGGAGGAGTCTCATTATCCGGATGAGGATGAACTCAGGTCTGTAAGTGAAGCGGACTGGGAGGAAGAGCTCCAAGAAGAATATGCTCGTTATGGCCGGCCATTAGTTATCATAGAGAAGCTGGATGACCATTTCGAATTCGAAGGGGAAGAGTACGAATATGAATAACCACAATTAAACGTGATTCTTTGTTTGAAATCAATGTATGGGGCCGAAAATTAATCGCATAGCCTCTTGTGAAATGCACGATCTTCATTCCTTCAACTCCATCCCTTATACAATCAGCAAGCAATGTCGACCCCTGCCGAGCGCACTTCTGGTTCCCTCATCTGCTCCGGACCCGCAAGCTCCTCATCCAGTTGTGAACTGTCACCTCCCGATTCTCGGATTCAAAGCGAAAATGCCTCTAAGGATATTCGTAGCCCCCTCACACGCGACGAGTACGTGGTCCTAGCCAACACCTTCAAAAAATTTTCCACGGCTCCGCCTGAGGTCCGAGACTGGATGACGAGAGATCGCTTGTCTGAGATTACTGGCGTGGATGTAGAGTTATGCGATATAGCCATAGAATTCTCGAGAACGGGCATCTTGAACATCCCTGAATAAACTGAAAATGACACGGCAAAGCATACCACAAGACTCGGAGCATAGATGAGGAAGGACTATGGAGAGCAGACATTGTAATGTCTAGCAGGGCTACTACTTCAATGGAGCTCGTGGGTCACGTCTAGGCGGGACTTAAGAGGAATAAATACGATTGCGACGAACCTGCTTTTTATTATACATTTCCTTAATGAGGACGGCAGCAAGAGACACGTCGTATGCTTGGCTTTATGATCCATGACTCGCGACTTGTGCCTCAGATCTCGACTTGATTTGATACGCCCTTAGTAGTCCTTTTCAATTCCATCCGTGTCGTTTGGATGGTGGGTGGTTGGGCCTCCTTTAAAAGCATGACCATGCACTTACAGATCTACTGCTCAAAGAAACCTTATTTCATTAAATTGATTCTCAACTATTCAGAAATATATCTTGCGGTTCGCCAGTGATTTGGACTCTAGGGTGGTTGAGGCTCGATCGGGTCTTCATTTTGGGGGTTCGAAACATCTATGCACTCTCAGCATACCTGTACACGATCATGGGTCCAGATGCAGACATAGACCCACGCGGGCTATTATGAAGCGTCGGATCAAATCCCTTCTGATAGGCGCTAAAATGGACTCGCTGGAACTGCATCCTAGACCTCGTGCGTGTGAACTACAGGTCCTCCAATTAAATTCATCCAGAATCCAGGGGCACAAAACCACTTACAAATTGTGCTCATCCGTAGACTATCAGCAAATTGATTTGATTTTGTGCAACGCGGTCCAAGTGTTGAGAACAAACAAACAAACAAACAAACAAACAAACAAACAAGCGACTTTATTTTGTCTGTAAGCGTGGGTAACAATGGACTAAAACATTCACACGTCCCTCCTTCTCCTGCGGTGCTCGATGTGAAAGCAGCTGTTTGGGTGTGGGAAGAAAAACAACAAACGGCCAGACGCATGACGGGGCGATGATGAGAACGAGAAGGGGTAACAAACGACGTCCACGGCATAATTTCTAATCTGTTGTTATATACAACGGATGGGCGTTCACGTTATTTCTAGTCAAATACACAGTGAACGCCAACAACGTGTATGATTGAAATGGCGAGGTCTTTGGTCCTACTGCACAATGCTATCAATCCTGAATGTTTGGCTGGTGTTTCTACACCACCAATACATAATTGATTTTTTTATCCATATTTGAGCATAGCCAATTGGTAATTCCTTAATATCTGCATGATGGTGAGCTGTCCTGTCAGTTCAATTACTACTGATGATCGTTCCGTTGCTCTTAGACTCGGCGATATGCGTATTTACGTGATGGTCTTTTCTTCTTTGGCAAGAAGAGAAGAGATGAAGAGGTAAAATGAGAGAGAGAAAAGAAATTCCATCCATTCTGTGAACAACCAGGTTGCAAAAAAATACAAGCACACAGGTATGCAGCAATAATCATGCCTGTCTTCATTCATTCACTTCTCCCTGTAACCAGAATCTCAGGCTCAGATATAACCGCGGCCCATCCCGAGAGACATGCATACAGAGTGTGCAACATTGGATGAAGCAGATCTGTGCTTAATGAATAAAGATCCTTGACATGTGACCCTCTTACTGATACTACTCAGCCCTCGCGAAGACTGGGTCCATTGTACATGTTTCTCCGATCTCCCCAGACTCTCTTCCTTTGCGCTTGGCTCCAGTTGAAGCAGCAGCAACGAACATCGTCCCGGCTTGGGTCCTCAAAACCTCGAAACTTTTTTATTCTATAAACAACCTTGAGTTGTCTTCGGCAATGTTGATTGGCCGTTTGGAATAGAACCCCTATAAATGTAAGGACGTTGTGGGCTTATTTAGAGTTTTATCCAAACAAACAAAAGACGTTCATTACTCCCTGGCAAAACGGCCAAATGTCGTCCATTGGGCAGAAAACAATTCTCCTGTCATTATTAAAGTTTTGATATAACTATCCTGCATGTCAAGAAGCACCAAAGACAAGGCTACAACGAAGGACAATTAAGGTATTGTATTCAATCCATAGTCTATGGCCCTGTGTTGCACAGACGGACAGTGTGTTCTTTCTTTCTCATCACACCATCCGCCGTGGTCGTTTGCGCGATTGGGCAAACAAGCTTGAAAATGATGCAGATAGTCTACGGTATTCTTTTCCTCTTTACGCACACGGAATGAACTGCCTGAGGTTATCAGTGTTCTATCCCACTCTATCGCTAATATGACCATGTACTAATAAAGATACAGACGTATTTCCGAGCCATACCTGGATTGATCAAGTAAAAGGCGTGGCATTCTTTCGTTAGTCTATCAACGTGTCGTTCAAAATTCAGCATGGTAGGGAGCGTCCATGCTGTGACTGAGCACGCGACTTTTGATCATATCAGCAGATGACCAATAAATAAACCGTGCTTTTGCTGCTTCTTTGACGTTAAAACTGCCAGTTTATTTAATACTGTCGAGGGCGTGGAAGAAAATGTACCGCGCTGCTTTCATTGTTTTGTCCGCACATTAGATCGCACCTCATTCAACCCTTCAGTGAGCCATCATGATTTATTTTCCGAGTCCTTCGTGGCGCAGAAGAATAGAATAAAAAGAGAGCTGGCTGACTTTGTAATGCAACCGTTATACTGGATCCTCGGATAGTGCGCTCAAGCAAAACTCAAACAAAGAAAGGCATTCCATCCGATGGCTTTTTCGACAACCGGTTATTAAGTCAAAGGCATCATAACCGATCCTAATGTACGTCAGAGGCAGCTAAGGGTGTACAACACGATTTGAATAAAATACGATTTAAACAACTGTGCTTTCTTGCAACTGGTGATAGTCTAGCATGCGTAGTTCATGGGTAGATTTCCAATGTCTTTTCAAAATCTGTGCTTCTGACGCGACCAGCTGGGTCTTTTCAAGTAAAGCCATCTGATTCTGGCTTTTTTCCTCCGAAGATGGCCCCTGATCTCGATCTCGATCTCGAAGAGGACTCAATAGATCTGAGACTTTGTCTAAGACAGGCTTAGCCTCTTTCACAAGTCGCTGGTGTTAGTTCATTGAAGGCACGGCGATATAGCGAAGGAAATGAAAAAAACGTCAAGTCCAAAAGGTATCAGTATACAAACTCATACTGTCGACGCGTAAAATACGTCCAGGACTTACCAGCCATTCTCCTTAATGACTACAAGATTCGATAGTATATAAAAACTCGACGCGTTTTTCACGCGCCTTTTCTTAAAGGTAAAGTGGCTATGTATGTGATAATATATGGCACATTTTCCAATGAGCACCGTCGCTGAACTTACAGAAGCCATAAACGTTGCTCGGATAATCGTTTATTGAGATCTAGAAATAATATTCAGATAGGAACTCATTCTTCACTTCGCCTAGCTCAGAACTCGCCTGTGCGTATACTATCCAGCGATGAAGATATGATATTGTCCGTTCCTTGTGTTTTGTCATGTTACGCTTCGCGGATGCATCCGTGAAGGCGCCCGCGAAGATGGGCCTTTAATACATGAAAAAGGCGACTTCAATCGAATGTACCGCGCATACCATTTACCCACAAATATCAGCTCGCATTTCAATTCTTAATTACGATGAACTAGTCAGCCCTATAATTCTTGAAAGAATTGAAAACAGCGAAGAATTGTGTCATTTAGGCCGTAGGACTTCACGGTGAGAATCTGGATCAAGCAAAGAAAGGAAGCAATTGATGGATTGTGCCTCCACATAGATACACGCATCCGCATATATACACGCCCCAGCAACGCGTATTCTGTAGAAATTGCATAGAACTTGATATATTGAGCAACTGATTAAAAAGTTATTGCTTACATGTTCATCCGGAGAATTCGTTTGAAATATTCGCTCTCCATTACCGTCGATGCCCTCCTCATTGATTTCTATAACTGAATATAGAAAAAAGTTGTTTATAATAGGTGGAAGTGTGCTTCATAGTAAGTCCGCTCCAGTGGGCCTGGACGTTCGATTCTCGTTTCTGTAAGAATAGCTCGTGATTTAAGGTCCAGTCCAAAGAGCTTGTGATTGGATTCGAATCCTGGTGCCTGGATTTCAAATTAATTTTGTCTTCCTGGGAGTACTTACATGATCAAGTCCGAGTCTTAGTCTAGGCGCAAGTGACTTTTGACAATGCTCCGTACCAGACGGTATCGCATCCGAGAGTTTAATCATCTCAGGTTAACCTGGCTCCAAAGCTCGTCGAATAGTTATACAGGAATGTAATCGTGCATACGACTGGTCAACTGGGCGAAATATTTCTTTGAGGTGAGGTGCGGAAACAACCTATTCCGTCAAATACGATCCCTGCATATCACGAAAAAAAAGAGGGCTGAAATGAATAAGTTTATGCGTGTATTCTAGTCTCGGACTAGAATCCTATTCGCAGAACAGCATGAATACGAATACGTTTAAAAAACCCTTAGAATACACGTGGGCCGAGTTCCTTGGGGAATCCATAGATTTTAGACAGCAGTGCATTACTCTCTACATCTCTATATGTATCATTCTAATGGTGTCAGCAAAAGTGTATAGAACAATAACAGCAAATTCACAGCATGCGCAAGACTTTTCCTACGCATTTAGTCCCTCCATCTCGAAATAACACCGTGGTGCCCTTGCGCATAAACACCACGTCATGACAGAACTGAAACACGACTTTGGCGCGGTTTCCCGTCTGCAACTCTACAGGTTCTTCAATCTCGACTTCGTCCTTCCCCTCATGCTCATCCTGCTCTTGAAGTTGCCCCTCTGCACCAGACAGCGAAGCGTTTGTGTGCTCAGTACCGCCTCCTCCGCGATCCACAGATAATCTTCTGAAAATCCGCATGGTACTTACGGGTATCATGTCATTGTGCCCGCTGCCTCCTGCGCCTTCTTGGAGTCGCCGCCGCGATTTCAAGCGATGACGGGGCTGGTCCTTCGATGCTACCACTTCCTGCTCATCATCGCCTTCCATATCCCCGGCACTTCCATGGCGGATCGAGCCCGATCTCGAGCCTGGGATCGATCCAGGCAACGACGATCCCGTCCCAGATTCACAATCCGAACTTAGCGAGCTGGACCGCCTACCCTGCACACTCTCCCGCTCACTGCTCCTGCTCGAGGTCCGTAATTGTGCGAAGTCCTCTGTGACCCCTCCCAGGTCCTCCTCGGCACCCAATATTGCGGCCATCGAGTCAACTTCGCCAGCCTGTCCAGGCCCTGGCAACAGCTCAATCTTCATAACCTTGGCATTCTGGTGCACGGATCCACAGTGGATCATTCCTTGGAAACCTACTCCGAATAATCCATCGTGTGCCAGCACCTGAATCACGGCTTCGAACTTTTGACAACAGATGCCTCGAGGATCCGTGTCACTTTCGAGCACAACCATCCCGCGACGGACTTTGGCCAGTCCGAGCCCAGATCCCTCGATTGCCAGCGTTGCGGTGTGTCCTGAGTCGATCGAGCGCATAGACATACGTTGGCGATGAATCGATTTGACAATCACGGGTATGAAACTTCCATCTCGATCCACAGGGCCAAGGTAGAGTCGTGTGTTTGGCGTGTTGTTGTTGCTATTGCCAGCTTCTTGCGATTCATCGGCATTTTTGACTGTGGGTCCAGGTGTATAAACTTCAATCCTTCCCGCATGTAAGAAGCCGCCCACAACAGTACCAATGTCTATCAAGTGATGAATCGATGCGCAAGTTGTTGATGTAACTGTGCTATTGTCAACAGAAAGCATGGCAATAAAATGCATGAGCCTTCTTACCTGGTATATTGTAGATCTCCTCAATCTGATAGCAGGCTGGCTCTTGCGAATACGATCCACCATGGACGTCCAGACTGGGCTTTGGAAGCAAGAACAAGAATCTTTCCAGTAGTCTCACATTCTCTCCGGTGACACTCGAAAGTAACAGGATCGGAATCGCCACTGAGTTGGTTTCCTGAATGATCGTCAAGTCCGAAAACCGCCTCACCGCTGCCTCGAGATCTTTCTCGTTATGCACAATCGCCGGTACAAAACTTTGTAATGCCTGCTCGCCACCATCCTTTCCCGACTGCTGTGCTTGCGGTGATGATAAGGGCGCTCCAAAATCGCCACTCACAGACGGCAAACAAGACGGCCCAGTGTTCCGGATCAACGCCATCAATGCTGTGACAGTCGCTCTGAGCTGGTCGCGTGTAGCCACATCCATCTTGGTCACCGTAACGAACGTCGGCAAACCCAACGCAACTGCCAGCGCCAAATGCTCCTTCGTCATCTCATTAACGCCGCCCACTCGCGAGTCGACCACCAAGCAGGCATAGTCTGGCGAATGTCCTGTCAGACCAGAGATGGTGGTTTTAAGGAAGCGCGGATGTCCACAGGTGTCCAGCAGTGTAACAACTTTGGCGGACGATTCGCACACTTGCTGCCAGCTCGAAATATTGGTGGTGCTGTAGTTGACAGTCTCTCCTGCGGCCGTGAAACCCATGATTTCGTGCGAGATGGACGATGTCCTGCCTGTGCTGATCTCGTGACGATGTCGGAGCAAATTCAGTCCTATGGTAGAAGTTTCCGGAGTTCAAGAGGCGAAGTATAGTAAAAGTCCTAGTTAGAGCAAGGTCCAAATCTCAATAAAGACATTTGCATATTTTTCTACATACGTGCTTTTCCTCTGCCGTTATCTGCAATTCCATGGGCCAATCGCCCCAATAACGTCGACTTTCCCGCATCCGGTCCTCCAACCAACGCAACACGGATTTCCAGGAAATGGTGCTCATCCACTAACCGCGATGTAACCTTGGCCTCCACCACCAAGTACTCTGGCTCAGTACGTGGTGATCCACTATGAGTAGGTATCCGTTTGCGAACAAGTCCTGAGGCCTCTGGTCCGTTCTCAGGCTGAGATGGGTCATTCTGCTGCGTGGATTTTACAGAAACCCTGCGCAAAATCGTGACATCGGCCTTTAAGAAATCCGCCATCCTGTGCAAGGTCTGAAGGGACGCTTCCATATCCTGAGGCGACAATCCCACAAACGATCCGTCATCTGCTACGCCGATTTCATAGATAGCACTGCCATTTCCCTCTGACAACCTAAGGCGTTCAATCGATAAAAGATACTGGTAAGATAAAGGATCTTTTTTTAACAATGCGGTATAGGTCCATTCAAGGCGAGAGGCCATCATGTACTCGCCTCCACTTCAACTGGGTGACCAGGTGTTCGAAGCGATCAGGAGCGGTCGCAATCAACTTGAGCTATGTAGAAAATACAGAAAACGATCCACAGCAAAGGTCAGTTCAGGGGAGAGGGAAAAGAAGACAGCAACAAAGCATAAGGGCGAATTCCTTTTTTCTTTCTTCAAGGACTACTTGGGCGAAGCAACGGGGTAGGAGAAGATGACTGCTGAAATGAGTGGAGTAAGTGTGCTGTACCTTGTATTCGATGTTGCCCTCGATATCAACTTCTGGTGGAAGAGATCCCTGGTGGTTGGCCCATGGTGACATCTCCACGACGTTGGATGGCACTTGGAAAACGGCCATTCTTCTCTACGCTGATACGTCTTTATCGGAATCCAGCTAGTCGAAAATGCAGATGAGAGGGCGAGAGGGGACAAAGTGCGAAGATCTTTGTGTGGCCTACAAGATGCGTATGGTGTGTAAGGTGGGTAAAGATCGGAGATGCAACTGGGATGTGCGGAGGAGGTTGAGGTGCATCCGGTGTGTCATCTAATGGGAAGAAAGAGATTCTTTGTTTCTTGGGTGGACTGACAGGTGGATGATGCAATCGACTTTAGGACGGACGCGACTGATTAGGATCTGGTATCGACTGCGGCTCTATTTCCTGACTCATATTACATCGCAGTGCCTCCTTGGCTCCTGCTCCCTTCTCAAGGCTCCTTTTTGACTGGATGTGGAGAAGATCATTTATTCGACCCATGAATGTATATCCAATTCGAGATAGAACTTCCTTGGAGGCGCTGCAGTCTCTGGTGTTCAAGATGTCTATTACTTTCGCCTCTCTGCTCTAACGAAGGCTACAGCATTGGAGTTATATGCTATATGTCCCCATAACGATCGCAGAAGCGCTTAATGGCCTACGCTTGTACCAGTTATGCCCTCTAGCTCGATAGTAGTTCCAAGTGTATACAGCCTGCAGGTCGTGTCTGCGGGGAAAAGAGCAGTCTTTCAGCCACCAATTTTCATGGCCCTTTGCCATATAGGCGGAGTCCGCATTCTGAGTGTCTGATCCTCCTTTCGAATTTTACTCAAACCAAAAATGAAGTAATACATCGTTCTTAGTAGAAGGAAGAATATCCGATACATCCAACCATCCATCCTTCCATCGATCGACTCCAATGGCTTAATTGGCCCAACATGACAACTTTAGAATCCGACTCGTCATTGTCGACTTCACTACCTCAATTGCTCGTCGAAGGATTATTTTATACTTGGATGAATAGTGAGGAACCCAGGATGCAGCTGATCGCAGTTAAACAAAAGCCAGCAGGATCAGGACTGAACATCAGCAACCTTATGGGCGCAACATCCGGTCGACTACGCAGTCAAACCTATCGGGATACTATCGTTTTGTCAGGACACTGCTTCGACGAAGGAGAGGAAAGGCGACCTAGTTGAACCTTTGATCCTGTATTTCGCGGCAGCACTCAACAGAGCACCTCAAAGAAACTAGCTGTGGGGAGGTGTGGTGATAATAGATTACAGGAATGCTTTAAGCAACACTCATGCGGAAACTTTGATCCTTCATGGTGCGCCTTTGAACACATCTCAGGACACTCCATAACACCAACAGGGTCCCATTCGCCTTACATTCCTACCAGAGAATCAAAATTCTGACCATTCCGCTCTTTTGTTATTACTTCAACTCGCCAGGATTGAGATTTGCGCCTTCTCTGGAGCCAAGATCTACCCTGGAAAGGGCAAGATCTATGTCCGTGTCGACAGCAGGGTATGTAACCTGGTCTATGACTTACAAGAGTGCAGAAACTCGCAAGCCGATATATACAGAACTTTATGGACAAGAACAGGAGAGCTCTGGGAGCTACTACAGTATAGTCGACAGTGGACGCTATTTAATGGCGTAAAAGGCTGGCCCAGCTATAATATGTCACTCCAGCTCATATAATCGATTCAACTGGACGAGATCAACGCCAACAGCAAATACTATAATGCATGCAGCTTGACCTGGCATGAAAAGCAGAACGCACCAACATCAACGGACTTCGATGACTATTGAGATTTCTGAGCCTGTAGCGCATATTCTATGAGAGCGACAAAGAATTGACATTAAGCTTATCCATTGGATCGTTTGTCATATCTAGTCCTTCCGTTTTGTCAACGGCAAGGCCGAGTCCCTGTTCTTGCAGCGCAAGAACCCTCGTAAGATCTCCTGGACCGTTCTTTTCCGCCGTATGCACAAGAAGGGTATTTCTGAGGAGGTCGCTAAGAAGCGCACCCGCCGCACCGTCAAGCACCAGCGTGCCGTCGTTGGTGCCTCGTGGGAAGCCATTCGCGCCAAGCGCAACCAGAAGCCCGAGGTCCGTGCTGCTGCCCGTGCCGCTGCCCTCCGTGACAGCAAGGATAAGAAGAAGACTGAGGATGCCAAGAAGAAGGCTGAAAAGGCCAAGGTACGGTATTTTTTTCTCAACTGGTTTTTGTGTCTAGGACGAAGAAACGATGGAAGACGTGTGGAGAATGGAGATTAAGTACGCGTATTATGGAGATACTATATCGGACAACTGATCGGTTTTTCTTTCTTTGTCATTTTACGTTATACAGAGCGCCTCCAGCGCTGCCCGCGGCCAGCCCAAGGTCTCCAAGCAGAGTGCCAAGGGTGCCAAGATTGCCATTGCCAACACCTCCCGCTAAAGTTGTTCCTGTTTTGTTTGAGTAATTGAATAAATTCTCTTGCGAAGCTCCCTCAAGAAAAGAAAAACAGAGGCGATGCCAACGCGTCCCTACATAACATGCAATTTGCGATATTGAGCATGTTCATCGATGTTAATGAGGCCAGCGGTGCCTTTAGAGCGGTTTAATTCAAGAGAAGGGCCGATGGAAACATTTGCACTCATGGTGCCCTGGTGCCCTTATTTATTCCCTTTGGTTTTGCGGATCGACATCCATCGAGGGGTTCTAGGCACATGAACTATTATACTCAGCTTTCTGAACGCCCGGAAATCATCAATCGTGCAAGTGGCCCGTGCTATGGCTCACGCAATCACTTGTCGCTAATACCATCACAAAACTTATTTCTCTTCCCAAACACCCTCATCCGGAGAACCGCGCCGATTGGAGATAGATACCCTATAGCGCATCTGAGCGTGCGATCCATGTAGTCCTCACAACAACACCTGGAGTAGTATCAAACAAAGACACGAGGCGCAGCCAAAGTCCTCCTCGAATCGGTCATGTAGGTTTAACCGCAAGCTTTACCTGAGGTTCCTGTACTTGTGTTACAGCTGACCTCCGCTTTTGCACTTCCCATGCCTTCAACAGTCAAGAGCGATGATAGAAACTACCGATAATGTTCGTGAGCAACAATCTCAAAATAAATGCCTTAATACTGTACACCACTTCCGACACAAGATATACGCGCAAGTAGGCACTGCACTGGGAATGACTTCCTGTTTGGAGTGAGTGGTAGATTTTATTTCTGTCCGAGTGTAACGCATGTTCTCGAGAGAACCTTTTTATCCTCGGAGAAAGCGCATTATGGTGGGCCTGATCGCATTCCGCCAAAAGAATCGCATTTATGAAAATAAGGCCGTGCAGGATTGGTAATAATCCTTCATTGCAGCATGAACTACCGAAAAAAGCGCTTCCTGACTTGTTTCTATCTTTGGCATACATATGCTTAACCAGGATAATGAATGATCGTCGAAAAATCGGACATCGGTCTGCAGTTTGAGGAGTTCCGCGAGGAACAGGATAACACGAACTTGCTGACCCGGGATGGGGTTGCAGATATCACACCAGAGGGAACTTTATAGCATATTTTCGACAGGGCCTTCTGGCCAAGATGATTGATGCTATTTGCACTCTGACGCAGAACGAGGAAGCGGACCGCATTCTGGACGCGTTATTTCCCTAATAGGGATCAACCTTTATTAAGGTTCTTGCCCACAGAGATGATCCAGAGAAGGGCGATCCTACTATTTGTAACGTCGAGCCTCGTTCTACTGGTCTTTATCTTGTTGTCCATCTTGTTGTCCCCTTTCATTTTACTCTTTTGAAATTACACGCGTTCTTATTGTCTGTATTAGCACTCTCTATTGCCTTCATCATAGCGTCGTGCCTCTGATGAACGACTGCCAGCACTTAGAGGAGGTAACAATGCTAGATGGCTGTGCATAATTACAGACGTTACAGGTTTCGACGCTGGAGTATATCAGAATATATCACCATGTCAAGGATGCGACGGCCGCACTGCCGCAGAAAGATCTCTCAAGCAGCCGAGAAGAGTTAGTCTTATGGCCCCTTGTATTAAGGGAAGGGGGGCCAACATGGCCGTCAAGTTCCTGTTGGTAACTGGGCCCGCGTTCAGCTCGCTTGCGGAAGGTCAGTACTGTCAATAAGACACCGAGTTTATTCCAAGGAACCAAGATAACCCTCGTGGCCGTTTTGTTTTCATGTGCCTATTAAAGATTAACTTTAGGTAAGAGCTTTTTAAACAAATGGCAGGATTAAGTCATAAACACTGGGCTAGGTTTGTTCCTTAGCACTAGGCCCAGCCATATTGTTTTGGCCCACGGCCTCGAAGAGCAAGGTCGTTTGCTGCTTATTCCAGCGTACTGTCGAATATGAATCCTCGTCAAGAACTATTTGGTGTACAAGTCGTGCATCCGTCGATTGCAGCCTCGTTGAAACGCGGTTTCCTGTATTCTAGCTCTAGGCCAGTTCCAAGATGGCCTCTAATGCTACTCAAAGGAGAACGGCTCCCTGTTTAATCATCGAAGTGAGCACAAAATCTTTGATGGTAACCCCGAAGTTGAGGCCGTTTAACCATTTTGGTATAGTAAAAACTTGCAATTTGATTGGTTGGACCCTGCGACTCTATCGAAAGCACGGAATTCTTACCGAGGGTTGAAATAGGGCTCAACTGAACAAACAAAGCAACTTTCTTTCTCAGGGGAGGCCAAGGGCAACAAGACTACTGGCATGACAACACCAGACAACAACAACAACAACAACAACAATAATAATAATCCTGGGAATAACATGGTAGCGTGAGACAGTTTATTGCAAGAGGCAGAAAAATTCAGAATGGGGTTGTTCTGGACATGGAGCTAGCAGATGTGATTCGTGTCTGAGACTTATCTAGAAGTAGCGAAACGCAGCCTTCAGGATTGACTAAATAGACCTTCGATCATGACAATGAAACGCACATGGCATAGATCGGTTCTGCAGCCAATTGTTTAAGTGATCTAGTGGTAGACACTGGCGAACCCCAAGCGCTGAGTGGCCAGACCATGGCCATGTCATCACGAGCACTAGTTTCTTTCTTGAACCCTATCTGGGCCTGCAGGAAGACACATCCAGAGTGCCCTGTCTAAAGTGAAAAGAACTTAACAAACACCCATTGCTGATTGAATATTGAATGTATGAAGCCAGTTATAAACCGATTGAGTGCAGAACACAAAGTTCCTGGGTAGCACCCGAATTCTGCATGGCGGCATCAAGCAGCTTGTATTGATAACGCGATTCAATAGCCCTGCCGTGCATACATATTCGCATCCATAGCCTCATCGTTGATGTACGCGTTATTTTATTCCATTTAGAGTGTGGGAGCATCCAACGCACCACTCAGCCTAGCCCAAGCTCAAGTTAATTGTATTCATCTTATTCATTCATTCGCTGGGATTTGCCGTTTTTCTATCTTTGCTCGTACGAGACGCTCGTTTTCTTCATCCAAGGTCCATCCTTATAAAGGCACACCGACTCCCCATCTTCGTTTTGCTTCCCTAGTGAAAACTCCTCTCCAACCTTACTCCAGCCTCTACTTCTCCCTCCCTCATCCTCTGTCGCGGTTAGTCAGCAACAACCACTCTCAGCTTACATCCTCCACTCAGGTCGCCCGTCGCCACCTTCACCACCACAGACACATATCATGGCTGAAAAGCGTGATATCCAGGCACATGAGATTGCCAACCTCGAGAAGCCAGAGATCTCGGCTCTGGATCTGTTGACCGACCATGAGAAGGAGTTGCTCGAGTTGGAGGCCCGTCTGAACGCTGAGCTCGATGCCCAGCTGTTGAAGAACCCCAACAAGATGCCAAAGGCCGTCTTCTTCATCTTGCCCAACGAGTTTGGGGAGCGCTTCTGCTACTACGGTGTGCAGCCCAACTTGAACAAGTACTTCCGCCTCATCAGTGGAATGACCGTTGTCGATGCCAAGGTCTTCTCAACGGCATTTACTATGTTGGCTTACTTCTTCCCCTTGATCGGTGCTGCCCTTTCAGATTCCTTCTTGGGCAAATGGTAAGTAGCATGATGCACTGCATGTCCATGAATATTACAGCTTAGACAGGAGTAGTTTATCTAATCCTTCCTTGATAACATCTTGTCACAGGTGGACCATTATCTCCTTCTCAATCATCTACCTCATTGGTATGATCATGGTTACCGTATTCGCCATCCCCAACTTGATCGGAGCTGTCGGGCAGGTCTCCAATTTCTTGACCTTCCTGCCCATGCTCATCATCGCCATCGGTACCGGTGGTATTAAACCCTGTGTTTCCTCCCATGGTGGTGACCAGTACCTCCCTTCCCAGGAGGCAGCCAAGGATGTCTTCTTCAACGTCTTCTACATCGCCATCAACCTTGGTGGCCTCATCACCCAGTTCGTCGTCCCTGAATTGACCAAATTGCAATGCTACGGCCAGGATACTTGCTACGCTGGAGCCTTCTTGCTCCCCACCATCGTCTTTGCCTTGGCCTTGGCTATCTTCGCCGCCGGTCATCGCTTCTACCGCATTGTTCCCCCACTGGGTGAGTTCCTTCCCCTCAAGGCCCTCAAGGCTACGATCCTCGCTGCCACCCGCTATCGTGCCGCCACCGCTGCTGAGCGCCAGGCCAAGGGTCACTGGCTCAACTTTGCAGAGGAGGAGTACGGTGGTGTGTTTGTTGAGGAGTGCCGCGACTTCGGTCTTGTCCTCGTCCCTGTCGTCATCCCCTTCGCTTTCTGCTGGATGTTGTACAACCAGAACTCGAACGAGTGGGCGAACCAGTACTACCTCATGAACGGTGCCATTTTTGGAGGCAAGGATCCCCAGAAGCTCTATGTCCAGTCTGCTCAGTTCGGAACCATCAACACTATCTTGATTCTCATCATTCTGCCTTTGTTGGCCGGTTTCGTCTATCCTTTTTGCGCCCGCCGTGGATGGAACTTCGGCCCCCAGCGTCGTATGGCTGCCGGTTTCTTCTTCATTGTCCTGTCTTTCTGCATCTCCGCCGGGCTCGCTCCCATGATCGAGAAGGCTTTCCTCGAGTCTGGTCGCGATATCAACAAGGCTGCCGATTATGACGGCAGCTACTGCGAGCAGTGCTACTCTGCCTGGTTGCAGTTCCCTCAGTGGTTCGTCCTCACCCTCGGTGAGGCCCTGTGCTCGCCCACCGGTGTCCAGTTCACCTACATCGAAGCTGGTCGCCAGTTCCGTGCCGTCTCCACCTCGTTCTGGCTCCTCTCGACCTCCTTGGGTTCGATCTTGATTATGATCCTCGAGCCTCCTTTTGCCAGGGCTGAATTGTCCTCGGGCACCAAGGGCTGGGCTTACTCTGGTATTGGAATGTTCGGATTCATCCTTTACTGCATTGCCTCGTACTTTTATACTCCTCGCAAGAACCGTCCTTCGATCAACGAGGCTGCTCGTATCTCTAAGGAGAAGGAGTACGCTGTTCAGAAGTACTATCATCCTGCGCAGTTCGAAGACGATGCCTAGGCGAACACATCCATGCTTGTACCATATTGACTTTCACTAGATAATAATAATAAAAAAAAAAAAAGAACGAGTAGTGTCTTGTGCGCAGCCATAACGCGTGTAGTTGCGCTCTTTTCCTGCCCTTCTATATACGGCTTGGATTGATGGAGCTAACGAGCCAAGAGCACTCCTGTGGCAGGGTTCTTTGTCGTCTTTAGTTGGCGGCCTGACAAATGCACTTTGTGCGTTCATCCATTTTTGGAAATCAAAGCGACCCTTTTCTGCCGATGAAATGTTTGAGTGGTCATTCGACATCAAAGTAAAAGAAAATAAGAACAAGTGCGTCGATTGACACTTTTCACTTCCCTTGACACCTATTCACCTTCTTCTCGCCGGACTCCTGCTGTTTTCTCGGTCCTTGGTCTGCTCTGCTGCCGCTGCTGCTGCACTGTATACCTTCGACATTCTAGTTCCTTACATTCCACTTCACCCATTGCCCATTCCCATTCGCACCTTCGCACCTACAACGGTTACATCACTTCACACTTCATTCCTTTTGTACCAATTGGTTCTCACAGCAATTGAGCACTTGTCTGTCTGTCTGTCTGGATCTTCATAGTCCCTTAATCCATTCAGATATACGATGTCTAGCAACGCCCACAGTGACCGATCGGACCAGCTCTCCTCCGCAGAGCTCGGTCAAGCTTCCAGACCCTTGACCTCACACGATGATACCGAACGCACAGCCCTACTCGGCGGCAATCCACGCCGCTCCTCGCAGCTTAACAACAATAATGGGACCCCCATTGGAAGCGGAGGAAGCAAACGACCTGGGTCAAAGCATGGACTGTCCAGCGACGCACGCAAGAAGATCATTGTGGCCTTGACCTCGATCTCAGGCATACTCTTGATCATTCTCGCTGTCGCACTTGTCAGGAAGATTGGTTCTGCTCCCAGTATGTGTTTTCCCCCGTCGTTTGTTTCCATCTTTCTTTTCTTACCCGCTTATGGAATTAATGCAGCTTGTGCCTGAGAGCGTGAGAAGCAATTGGGACTGACTGAACTCGTGATAATGCGTATTTTTTTTATAGCGGTGGAAAAGAACACGCCTAGCCTGGTCAAGGCTAAGCATGGGGCTGTTGCAACCGAGGAGATCCATTGTTCCGAGATTGGTGTCCAAGGTAAACGGCATATCCCGCATTGCAAATTTAGGGGGGGGGGGGAGGAAGATCATGTTCTGTACCTGAACTGCTGCTGTGATTTATGAATAACGGCGTGTATGACTCCCGCTAATGCAGACCGAGTTATGTCTGTCCTACTGGGAACGTTGTGGCCAATTGCGTAATAAACCCTATCCCTGTGCACAAGTTCTAACAAAAACGTCTTCACCATCTATGCAGTCCTAAGGGACGGCGGTAACGCCATGGATGCTGCGATTGCCTCATGTCTCTGCATTGGAACCGTCAACATGTTCTCCGCAGGCATCGGTGGAGGCGGCTTCATGACCGTCCGCCTGCCTAATGGCACTGTCGAGGTCATCGATTTCCGCGAAACAGCCCCCGCAGATGCCCATCCTAACATGTACAAAAAGGATCCCATTCTCGCCCAGAAGGGCGGTCTTTCCGTCGCCGTGCCCGGCGAGATCCGCGGATTAGAGTTAGCCCACAAGCGATATGGAAAGTTGTCCTGGAAGAGATTGTTCGCACCTTCGGTCAAGATGGCGAGAGAAGGGTGGGCTGTTGGTCCAGAACTAGCGAAGCGCCTGCAGATCTACAAGATGATGATGGAAACAGAGCCAGATTGGGCAGCAGTATTTGCACCGAATGGGACGGTGCTGCGGGAGGGTCAGTGGATCAAGCGCGGGGCGCTCGCAGATACGTTGGAGAAGATTGGAAATCAGGGTGCGGATGCGTTCTATACGGGAGAGATCGCGGAGAATATGGTCGATTATATTCAGAAGAACGGCGGGATTTTGACGATAAAGGATATGGAGGCATATAAGCCATTGATCAAGAAACCGATGGTCGGATATTATCAGGGACGCAAGGTGTATACAACTCCAGCACCGACTAGCGGACCAATCTTGCTCAGTATATTGAATATTCTGGAGAGATATGAGTTGGGACGGTACAAGGAGAACGCCAATATTGAAGTCCATCGTCTTGTCGAGGCCATGAAGTGTAAGTGGTTTGCTTTGTTCAGCATGCGCTCTTTGCCTTATCTTTGGGCTGTAGTATGGATAGCTAACCTATTCTGGGGTTCAATCTTGAAATATGTCAGTCGGATACGCGCAAAGGACGGAGCTAGGCGACCCTGACTTTACAGAGATGGAGGACACGATCCTGAGCATCATCTCCAAGGACACTGCGGCCCAGGTCCGCGCCAACATCTCAGATGCCCAGACCTTCCCCGTTGAGTACTACAACCCACACTGGGGTCCGATTGATAATCATGGTACGACACACATGTCGACAGTGGATCAAGATGATATGGCTGTGGCGCTGACCTCGACCGTGAACCTGGTCTTTGGCTCGAAGTTGTTGGATCCCAAAACGGGTATTATTCTGAACGACGAGATGGATGACTTTTCAATTCCGGGCACGCCTAATGCATTTGGGTTGTATCCTTCGCCGTATAATTACCCGGAGCCTGGAAAGCGGCCATTGTCGTCGTGTGTGCCGACGATTGTTGAGAGGGATGGGAAGTTTGAACTGGCGCTCGGCGGGAGCGGCGGGTCTCGTATTCTTACGTCTGTGCTCCAGGTAATGCTCTTCCTTTGTCACCAATTCTGTCCTCCTTAGGTCGACTATTGACAGGTTGCTAACGTTTACTACCTTTTTTTTTCTCCTTCCGTTTTATCGCATATTCAACAGACTATGCTGAATATGTATAATCACAGATACAATGTGATGGAGGCGGTCGAGGCACCGAGGGTGCACCATCAACTGATGCCGAATGTGGTCGATATTGAGTCCGGCTACTCTTCCTCGGACATCAAGTTCTTGTCAACACGCGGCCACAACGTTACAGTTTCCGATATTCTGTTGGCCAAGGCTGAGGTGCAGGCTGTAATGCGTGCCGAGGACAAGTTGATCTATGCGGCCAGTGACTCGAGGAAGCATGGCATTGCTGCGGGATACTAAAGGCGGAAATGAACGGCAACAAATACACTCACAAGTTGCACAGCAGTGCCTGGAACTCATTGGAAATGAATATATTATTTTGCTCCAATTCATCTCTATCAGTGTACTGCTGCTGTGACATTGACGAATGCTTTGTGGTGAGCCAGGGTTCAAGCAGAAAACACATGAAGGGCGCAATGGGCGTCATTTGTCATTCCTGCACAAAAAAAAAAAAAGGGATGCAGCAAGGCTTAGTCGCTAGTATTCCTTGCTGGTGCTGCACCGAAATCCACTTACAGCGCAAGACGATGATGTGATCGATCTACACTTCAAGATTGCAAAAGAACAACAACACATACAAACGTGTCTATTTTTTTCCGTTACTTATCTATCCGTTCTGTGCCTTGTCTTGTCCTTTGGTGTAGGCTATCATGGCTGAGCGAGTGTTTGCTCTGAAGAAGATGAAGACCAAAAAAGACTTGAATTGGATCCCACTCACTCCAAGGAACCAAAAGAGACTCACATTACATATTCATACCGAAGATACGAAAGATGCAAGTAGCCCAACCCCCAGATGAGAGCACTCTTCAGGGACCGATGGTATAAATATCCCACCCATCCACGATAGCACTTTTTCATAAGAAAGATAATGCGGACTATGGACCCATGTGCTGTGTATCTCCATTTTAACTGAATGAATGGGCAAAACAACACAACAAAAGTGATATCACACTCAGAAAAGATGAAGCGGCTCCAGTTGCTGCTAAGGCTGAGCGGGAGACATGGCATGGTTCATGGTATGGTCAAAGGAAAAGGCGAACGGGTCGATAAGGCCACTCTTCTTTCTTTCATCCTCCTCTCTTTCCTCTTCTCTCTTCTCTCTTCTCTCTTCTCCCATTGACACATAGCCTGACACTTTGCGCGCAGGAATAGAAGCGAGCGAACCAGAAAACAAGAGGAAGCAGTAACCGCGCATACCGAGCATACCAAACATACCAATACCTGTAATGAACACTTGGAAAAAACACCGCCTTACTTTGCCTTGGAAGGAACACCTGCAACTTCCCCAGTTTGTTGTGTCTCGTCGCTGATCTCTCATCATTCCATCTTTAAAGATTAGATCCTCTTCTTAATCAAATCGCTTCCTCCGAGGAACAACAAACAGCAAACCAGAACCACACACCACAGCCCAAGGAAGGACACGCTTGCTTCCATGGACAAGCCTATCGATGGCGACAAATATGTTCGCACCCTCGCCCACTATCTCCGCCACAACCAGAAACGGCTCATCCCACTAGAACTCGACCTCCATGGCAATGCTGTCCACAAAGGCTCATCATCAACCAAAGGAATACAGAACAACAAGCATGTCTCCAGTCCAGTAACCCAGGGTGTGCGCTCGCTTATCACACCAGCCGACCCCATGGCCGCCGCATACTCGGGCATGGTCAACTCGCTCTGGTCTGTTGGTTCTGCAGTCGTCAACACCGTAGCACCGAGTAATGACCACCGACGACCCCAGACCCTCGCTCAGGATCGGGACTCCTTTCAGGGCGCCTGGGATGGGACGGGGACAGTTCCCGCAGACTCGAACCCGCGTGAGCGACAGCTCTACCTCCAGGCCCAATTGAAGGCCCCCATCTTCCCACTAGATCTCTATTACCTCCTCTATCTCCTTGACCGGTTCGAGCTCGAAGGGATCGAGATTGAAGGTTGGGACGGGAGCACTCCCAGAGCTGTGGGTGATTCAAAACCCCGCGTTCTCAACAGCACGGCCAGCGGGACCAACGGAAACAATAACTCAACGTACTCATCATTCCCACCGCCGAATGCAACGCGTCCACAGTCAATTCGGTCCTTCTCTTCAACAGCACTTTCGACACTGACACTGATCACCGGATGGAAACAATGGTCCAACGCGGCTTCGTCCAAAGCAAGCACTCTCACCATCGCAGACGACGTGCACTTTATCCACAAGTTCTTAAAACAGATCGTCGGCCTTCGGCTTGTGGCCAAGATCCCCCCCGGACTGGACACCCCTGGAAAAGGACGGATCGAACACTACAGAGGCGACGGGATTTTGTATCTGTTGAATAATGGTCAGTCGCATGAACTTTCTTCCGGATCCTCAAAGCAACTGCAACAGCCCATGCTTCCGTTGGCCGCAACATTTTCGGCTCTCACTCACTTAGAACTGCATAAGATCCCGCCGCGGTCTGTCCAGGGCTGGGAGTCACTCATGCCCCAGCTGAAATCCTTGGTTGTCATCCAGGCAAGCATCGAGGACGTCCATGACGTGATCGTCACCGCCGTGGTTGAGAGCGAGAGGCGTCGACGACAGCGCGTCTCGAGGGAACAGAACCGTGCGGTCTTGATCCGGCAGGAGCAGAGAGAGGCACTCAAGGATGCATCCATGGCCACGAAGGCTCGTCGGCTAGGTTCAGGATCGGCGGGCTCGGGATCCTCCTCGGCAGAGAGCTCACAGCCAACGTCGCCACTGTCACCCTCACTGATCGCGGGAGCCGACGCCACGAGCGAGGACGAGGATGCGATCCTGAAATCGCTGAATATGTGGCCAGTCCTTCGCCACCTGTCCGTCTCGGATAACGCCCTGCCGGCCCTGCAGAACAACGACACGTTCTCGCACTCACAGGCGATTGTCACGCTAGATCTTTCCCACAACTTGTTGATCTCACCGCCACCAGGACTGATCCATCTGCATAACCTCCATGACCTGAACTTGTCGTACAACATGTTGTCGAGTGTACATACGATCTACCAAATTCTTGGCAACATTGCGGTCCTGGATCTAAGAGGAAACCGACTGGAGAGTCTTTGTGGACTGGAGAGGTTGTGGAATCTAGAGAAGGTCGATGTCCGCGAAAATCACTTGAAGGAAGCGGCCGAGATCGGTCGATTGGCGGCCCTACCAGGTATTCGCGAGATCTGGGCCGACATGAACCCCTTCTGCGAGACGCAGGTAAACACTGAGTTGGTGCCTTTATTTGCTTTTCCTGCACTCTCTTTATTCCTCAGAGTGGACAATTTTCTAATCCACGCCCCCCCCCCCCTCTTTTTTTTTTTTTTGCTTTATAGCCAAAATACCGCCTTGAGATCCTGATGGTCTTCCGGGCGAACGGACACGACCTGCTCCTGGACGGCACATTCGCCTCATTCGTCGAAAAGAGCACACTCGCTAAAATGAGTCCATCCGCCTTCTCAACGACACTCGCGAGCATCAACGTCGTCAACCTGGCCAATATACCCGCGGCCTCGGCTCCGACGGCCACCTTCGCCAAGGAGCTTGCCCCGCCACCCCCACGCATCACCCGGCCCGCAGGCTTCTCGTCCTCATCATCACCGAACACAACATCGACGCACCATCAGGACGATGATATCCGGACAGGAAGTATTGGAACTGTGGGACGAGGTAACGAGAATGGGTTAGCAGCAACAACTTCCCCGGGCGCGAACTCAGGTCAACCCCAAAAGTTAGTAAAGAAGAAACTGGTCAAGTCTGCAAGGAGGGTCAAGCGCGTCGTGAACTTGGACAGTGATCATGAGGATGATGAGGATCATAATGAGGATGGTGTTAGTGACTACGGCGATGATTCCAGCAACCATAACGATGTTGCATACTCCAAAGTCTTGGGCTCGCCTGCTGCGATTGGCAAGAAGAACTCCAAGAAGAAGACAACATCGACGACAGCTAACCATGCAGAGGAGGCCGATCCGGAGAAGAAGCCTAAGAAGAAAGTAGTCAAGAAGAAGAACCAGGGGATTGTCAGCTTTGCAGGGGATCATAACCGTACCAACGGGTATCACAACGACGGGAGTGATGCTAAGAAGTGCAGAGATACCCGCCATGTCCATCGACTTGCAGAACTAGAGCGGTCCATGAGCTCTTTGCAGGTCCAGACCGATCACAGCCATCGGAGTCATCACCAACACCAGAGCGGCACCACCCCTTCACGTGGAATCCTCAAGAAACCCTCCCTCTCGCATGGACATGGACATGGACATCATCATGAGTTTGGGGATCAGAAACTGCCATCCCCGGCCGGATCGAACTGCTCCTCCTCGGACGAAGGCGGTGCAGAAGCGTATAGGCGCAAGATTGAGGCGATGAGGAATGAGGCTGGTTCGAATTGGCTCAAGGTTCTTGCAGAGATGGATAGTGAGGAGCAGCAGGCACGGAGGAATAGCGGTCTCGGCCAGTGAAAGTGCTCGTCCACAAAGCGGAAAGCGTCAAAGGCAGAGGAGCGGAAGAGCGGTTCTCTTCAAAGAACAGACTTTTTTTTTTATCTTTTTTTATCGTTTACAAATGATACAGCACAGCGTGGCAAAACTAATAGTATATCCAACATAACCATCGTCGAAGAACAGCAACAACGACGGTGATGAAGAAAGACAACATCCACAGAGAATGGTCATTGTCGATAGAATATGAACGCTTGTTATTTAATAACTATACTATATTACAAAGCCAATCGGGCGTTATATCTTTTCCAACTTCTCCATCTTTTCCAGTACTGCATATATATCCAGCAGACACCAGGCGTCCACAGCTATACAAAACATCAGCGCAGAATTACCGCAAACATTGTATTAGAACCATTGCTTCGATACCTTTCCTCGTTCCTGGACATCAATTGCGAGCTTGGCTCACCTGCATAGATCTCCTGCTCACGGGTGAGAGGCCGCTGTTCCCAATGACTGCACTGCTGTGTCTTGTTCAAGCGGTATCCACAGAGTTTCGTCAACATCCCCGATAGCCCCCCCGTGAGCTGATACATATCCTGAACAGCCGGGTAGTTCGCCCATTGTCCCTTTCCATTCTTTAGTAATGGTAATGCTGGTGATGGTAGAGACGTTGGTGAAGATGACGACGAAAATGTTGAGGACGACGATAATGACGACGTTGACGAGGACGATGATACGGGTGATGGCAGATACGAAGCCATTTGAGATTTGTCCTCTTGCGGCGTTGATGGCGTTGGGCCATCAAGTGAACGAAACCAGAGATACTTCAGGTCCATGAAACTCTGAGGGCGATATGGTTGTTGGTGGATCAGCGGAAAGGTCGCTTCCAGCAGATCCCGATCTCCATCCCAATCGTACGCTGGAGATTCGAAATCAAAAAAGAGAGTGTTAACCAGCCATAAATGTTGTCATTTTCCCGTTGCGCTATACAGCCAACCCACGCTCATTCCTACCTATCTTAACGACCTTCGAATCATGCAAAAACTCGCCGATCACTTGCACGAGCCCTGCCCCCCGATCTGTGGACTCCTTGAACGCGATTGTGTCCACAATATAAGCCGTTGAGTCCGATTCACAAGACAACTGCAAGATCGCGGTCCTGGTTGCCGGTCGTAGACCCATATATTCTTGAATGTGCGGCAACCATTCTGTATCCATTCCAACCCTGGTTGATGAACGAAGCGCGGCCGAGAGGGTGGGTAATTGGGTGGATGAATTCACGAAAACGATGCGTGTCTCGCGAGGAAGTTGGTATACTGGGGCCTTGGTTTTGCTTGCCGCCGTTGGTTTCGATGGAGACGCCGAGGGAGATGGTGAGGACGAGATAGTGGAGGAGGTGGAAGAGGGAAGACGATTTAGCCCTAAATACCTTCGGATCGCGATCGGATGTGCCCATCCTTCGGACGTTGAGGACGTCAAATTCAAAGTCGACGACAAATTCGGTACGGACGGAATTCCACGAGATGGTTGCAGGTACTCAAAGATGACCGTTGCAGATTCCTGAAACCGCTTCTTTTCATACAGCAGCCGGGAAAGCATCCAACCGTAGGTCTCTCCACCGCCCTCCTTGGCCGGCTCCATAAGGATCGATCGCATCTCGAGGGTGTCTAAGGACGCGTAGACCTGTAGCACGTTCTTACCACCAACCATCTCATCCAGCAGCTTTTCTAGGTGTCGTCGCTGGATCACCAATCCTTGTTCTTCGTTCTCGTCGTCAGCTCCTTGGTGCTTCTGGTCCTGCGAGGTTTTATCGGCCTTGGGATCATTTTCATTTCGAAGGGACTCATCTTCCTTGTTGTTTTGGACTCGACTATCAAAGACAATGAGCGACACGTTCAAATCTTCGACATCTCTAACTCCCTCGCAATCTGAATTGTCTGTATGCAAATTCTGTTCTTCTAGGATCCGATTCGCCTTCTTCAGCTGCGTCAAATTAACCTGCATTGCCGCACCGTCCTCACGATCTCCCATCATATCATCATCTAAGTTTATGATCCGGAAAGAATTATCGCAGCTCGACCCGGGTGTGCCCGGTTCCGTCGTTGTCCAGGACGATATTGGTGCCACAAAATCCATCTGCTCATTGTCGTCTGAGAGGTCGATCAAGTCCATAACCATGGGTCGAAGTACGGCCATTTGTAGCAGATTGGGTTTGCCGACATCATCGTCCAGCAGGCTTAGGAGCGAAGATCCAGTATTCTGCGCTCGGACGGGCTTTGGCTGCACCATCATCGCACTCGGTCTATTATTCGTCATTGCCATCGTCGTCGGAGCGGGAGCAGGAGCAGGAGCAGGAGTCTTGTCTTCCAATATAATAAGATCGTTCTCTATTTCAGTTGTAGGTCCTGCGTGTAGTAAAAAGTCCTCGTCGAAATGAAATCCTGAGGATAACACCTCCGGCTCCTCGGACTCTGTTCCTGTTCCTGCCTGTGCCTTTGGCGGTTTAGTCAATCCCATTGCTCCGCTCCCTTCCTTCAATGCTGTCTTCCTATCCTGAGGATGCTCATGATACCACGTCATAAAGTCTTGCAAGGCCGCAACCAAGAAATCCGAGATCGCCAACTCGAAATCCGCATCCAGATTCTTAAATCCTGCCACAGTGCCTACACATATCAGAGAATTAATGATAAACATAGTCGGGTCGGGGTGCCGTCGCATGGCTGAGGCCATGGCGTGTTGGATGCGCTCGACGGCCCCAGAGGAAAATTCGCGACGATAGGTGTCGATATTGGAGTAGGTTGTCAAGAGGTGCTGGCCGAGCAGGAAGGCATTGTTTTCGGAGACGACTTGGCGGATCCCTAGAGATAATAATCACATAGCATAGTCGAAACAAAAGAAAGGTAATTCGAGGGGAAGAAATGGGCTATAAAATGAGGAAGGGGTGGCTACTTCATTATCCACATTCCACAACATATATTGACCACAAAACAAAGAAGCATTTCCTCATGAACCACATGGTAATAAGCAAAACTGCAAATAACCACATACATTCTTCAGAAAGGTTGAAAGTTGCCTGTCGCCGACCGTTTCTTTGTACGGAATTCGCACCACCTGCTGCTGTTCCTCCTATTGAGACTCCTCCTGATGCTGGTACAGCCGGTGGTAGCGCCTGTGAAGTCAAGTCCAAGAATAACTCCACCGGGTACTGCTCCTGCTGTGGTTGTTGAGGATATGGAAGCTGAGAATGCTTCTCATGCGATAGTCCATTTGGCACAAAGGGAGAGGCGTTTCCACTGAGGGACGATTTGGTGACGGGCATCGTTAGAGCTGGACGACGAGACATCGCCGCATGCCGAGCTGGAGACACTCGATTCGTCCTTCACTCCAAACAAGGTGGCAGCCAAAATCAGGGATAGACCTGAAGTTGCGGAAACGAGAGTGAGGCTGGAAGGCTATAGAAGAGCAGGGATCAGATGGGGTGATGAGCGAGCGAGACAAAAAGTTGATTCCAGAGTGAAAGCGGAGCATAGATGGTCGTGTTCTCACAGGATGCCTTCCTGATGGACGCTGGTAGATAAGAGGGACAGGGAGGTTGAAGGATGTGGAGCAGCGAGAGCAAGGGGAGGGAGGAGGAAAGAAAGAGAGAGAGAGAGAAAGAAAGATAGAGAGTGGGGCGTGGTCCCTTGTTCAGGCCCCCCTTTTTGGTTGCTTCAATCGCCTGCAATTGCAATTGCGCACCGGTGTCCATCCATCCTAGTCCAGTGTCCAATTGAACCATGCCAGAATTGGTGGCGCAAATGCGGGGCGGACGAGGCAGACATACGAATGATACGACTCCCTATGGACATGTCATGTTATGTCATGTCATGTACATCGTCCCCTTGCTCTCTCCTTCATACACACACTGCGGTCAAAGACGGCCATTAAGAAAATGCAGTTTGTCTTGTATTGGATCGGATAGCTCTGAAGGATAAGAAGGAACAAAGAACAAAGAAAACAAAGGAAATGGTACAAAAGATAGGCGCACGAAAGCGTAAGAGTAAGTGTGAATGCAGTCAGGGGGAATATCTAAGATGGACATCGCTCTCTTTCTTTCTCTCATTCCTGCTCATCCTCATCCTCTTCTTCTTCTTCCTCCTCCTCCTCTTCTTCTTCTTCCTCCTCCTCCTCAGCTTCTGCAGTAAAGTGCTCCGCAAAGTTATATGGCGCATCCTCATCCACATCCTCCTCCTCTTCGTCTTCCGCCTCCACCTTCTTCTCAGATCCGTCAGTCTTATTCTTCTTTGTTGCCCTTGCTGCCGTTGAGGCATCCGCAGCCACCGCTGCTGATGCGGCCTTACGTTTCGCCGCCTTCGAAAGCACCGCACCCTCAGTACTTCTGCTCTCTGCCTTCTTCGTTACTGATCCTGACTCTGATTCATTGGTGTTCCGTGCTTTGTTAGCCTTCCGTGCCTTCTCCGCAGCCTTACGACGGACCTCCTTCTGCTTCTCCTTCTCCTCCTGTGCCTTCATCTTTTGATCCGTAATCTGTTGCAGCAGCTGCTCCTTGAATGGGAAGTTGTTCGGAATACCAGGATCTTTTTTGCTCCCTAAACATGAGTGAGTTCGTTTCCAGATATAGTGGAGGAAAAAGAAAAGAGAGATTAGTCCTGGATAGCAGGGATATACACGAGTCAAGTGCAAGTGAAGAGCGACGAGCAATTGCGTACTGTGCTGGGCCTTGTTAGGGCTATTCTTGGACTCCTTGCGGAGCTTGCGGTGGTGATCCTTAACCCGCTTCTCGATTTTGTACCTGTGGTTAGCAGGGATACGCTTCGAGGTGATCTCTACAAAGAGCGTTCCAAACGAGAGACGGCAGAAGAGGTGAAGGTCAGTCGCCGGGGTGTTCGAGTGTCGAAAGCTGTACCATAAGGGTCTCGACTACTGAGTATCAGTCCAGCGTTCCTAGTGTTTGCTTACTTTTGCGAACCATGGCGTGTGTATTGTGTATATGTGATGGAGGGAAGATTAGAAGGAGGGTGTGATGGAGCCCTGACAAAGCTGTTTGCTACTGAATAGGAAAAAAAAAAAAGAAAAAAAGAAAAAGAACAAACAACACAGGACTGCCTTACCTGCACGTGATATCTAAACTGCCAAAAATAGAGTTCATGATGCGACATCAGCTCCACCTTTGCCTTGTCATCCCCGCGGCATCTCATAATTCACCGGTATGGCTTGTTCAAGGACACGTGTTTCCTTTCATACACCAGTTCTCATGACATGTCAGCATACATTTCCGCTAAAACTCGCCCTTTACTTCCGCAATACTCTAATGGTATTCTCTATGTACCGGCTTTTAGAAACAAACTGCTTTACAGCATACCCAACCATTACACCCCGAACCCAAACTACTGTATACATATAATACCTCCTATATACCAAATACTTCTCTGACCATGCCAACTGAAGCCGTCAGAAGTAAGGTCTAAGTACTACAGCACCTTCACTATTATCCGCGATACCTGCACCAAAATTAACACCCTGCGGACAAAATTCCATTTCTAGCAAACAGACAACGCCAGCAAAAGCAAGTGCGCGAGAAGCGAGTAGATCAAAATCAACCCCAGGAGGAAACCGTCAGATGGGAAGAAGCTGAAGCTTCCCTCGAAGACTTTGAGCTCACCTCCATCGAGCGTGAGAGCGACCGCCAAACCGCCATGGCCCTCTCCCTCACTGAAGCTGAAGCCGAAGCCGCTCGTCGCCGGACAGCAGAATGTGCTCATGGGACCCCCGAACAAGGAAAACGGCGGCGGACAGGACAAGCTACCAACCATGGCTCCACCCCACATCCACCGAAGACGGAACCTGAGGAGGCTGCCTGGAATCGTGTCAAGGAGCTGGAACAGGAACTGTTTGACTTGCAGGTCGTGGTCAAGAAGCTACAGAACGCTTATCCGCTGATTCATCAACCAATTCGCACGGACAAATATCCGCGCCTGAGAGGAAAGAAGTTGACGGAGGAGGAGCGTCGGGCCATGCTTCACTTGTATGAGGTTTGCATGGAAGAGAAAAATAGCGGGAGAACGGTCTCAACAGCGGATCCGATTCTACGTACGGCGGTGTACTTTGGAGCGGGAATGCATACTGTTAAGGACGTTATACTGGACAGGAATCGGGAAGACAAGCGGGGCAAATATATCCGCGTCAAGAAGACGGATCTACAACAGCAACAGCACCGACAGAAGTCCAATTCTGCAGATGGTTCCGGACAAGGAGCCACCAGCTCTTCGGTTGATCGAGAACAGGGAGTCAGCCCTCCAAGAGATTTCGGACGAGGAACTAACTCTTCAGGAGACTTCGCACAAAGTCTTAGCACTTCGGCAGCCTCCTCACGAGGTCCTAGCCCCTCATTCATCCTCTCGCACAATGGCCCCAGTTCATCATTCGCCCCCATACATGGCTCTAGTTCTTCATACGCCCCTTCACAAGGCCCCGGCCCTTCGGCGGTTCCCTCACAAGGCCCCAGATCATCAGCGACCCCCTCACATGGACCCAGTAGCTCTTCGGCCATTCCCTCGCAAGGGTCTCACTCTGCTGATTATCATCACCTGATGCATTCAATGTATCTTGCACAAAATGGCTATTTGGACCAATAAAAGCCTGATCAGAAAATATATTACATTCTGGGAGTGGGTCTTTATTCTTAAAAGCTGCTATGCTGGAATCCATTCCCGGGGTACGCGAAGGACCTCCATCAGGCGTCCATGGGCCTTCACATCCGGCTCATGCATGTATTCCCACCTGGCTGTCAAGGGCATCGACATCATGATACTCTCGACCCTCGCTCCGGGCGTCAACAACCCAAACTTTGTACCCCGATCATGCACCAAATTGAACTCAACATAGCGGCCACGTCTCAGTTGTTGGAAATGCTTGTCCTCGTCCGTGAAGGGCATATTCTTACGCCTCTCCATGATGGGAACATACTGTTTCACAAAGGCGTCACCGCAGGTTCTGACGAAGGTAAACAACTCGTCCGCAGACTTGTCATCTAGATCGTCAAAGAAGATGCCTCCGATACCTCGTCTCTCCCCTCGGTGCTTGATATAAAAATAGTCGTCGCACCATTTCTTAAAATCCCGATAATACCGTGGATCGTGCTCGTCGCAGGCTCGCTTGATCACCTCATGGAAATGCACAGCGTCCTCCTCGTACAAGATCGTCGGCGTCAGGTCACACCCACCCCCAAACCACCACGACAATGGCTCCCCCTTCTCATCGCTTCCTAACTCAAAGTATCGATAATTAAAATGCACAGTCGGCGCGTTTGGGTTATGTGGATGGATCACACATGAGATACCCGTCGCAAAGAACGGCAGAGCCTCATCTGTTTTGCCGATATTCGGATGCTGGGCTCGCATCTGTGCCACGGCCGCGGGTGGGAGCATACCGTACACGACCGAGACGGCAACGCCGGCCTTTTCGAAAACAGCGCCGTCTTGCAGGACCATGGAGATGCCGTCGCCGCCCTCGGCGCGTGTCCAGCGATCGGTTTTGAAGGTCGCCTGGCCGTCAACTTTTTCAAGGGCAGAGGTTACTTCTTGCTGCATTTGTTTGACAAAGGATTCCATACGCAGGCGCATCGGCGAGTCCTTTGTCAGGCCTTCTAGTTTCTACGAAAACGCACACCCTCCAATATTTTAAAAAAAAAGGAGGGGAGGTAATGAGTATGGCGCCAAAGAATCAAGCACAGTTTCACTCGCTCATAAGAAGTGCTATAATGGACGCTTACGCGTTGTTGATCCGCTTCCACAGTCTTGCTCGGCATCTTCAGCTGCTGCTTTGGTGTCTCGTTTTCAATCTTAGCTTGCTAGAAACCATTATTTGAATATATTCATTAGTCCTCGTTCGAAATACCGTTCATTGCACCCCAATAAAGATTTCGTGAAAGTTTAAACACTTGCAGATGGCGCCTGTGTCCAGTAAGCAGCCGCAGCAGCTGTTGCGCCAACTGCCGTGAATGCTGCAACGGATCTAAGTGGATATGCGAGAGGCGTCTTCGGTACGGAAGCGTATGTCCGGGCTTGAAGGTGTGGCCATTGTCTGTAGAGCGCAACACGAAGGAGAAAATGGCGGTATATTATGTTAATATATATTTTTTACTTCAGATCAAATGAATGGATGACTATGCAAGCAGTTCGTCAAGGGCACGAGCGGACATTACGCTCTAACAGGTGAAAGGTGCGCTATTGGGAGAGAAAGGGCAATTTGTCACATCATTAGCCCATTATGAACCGAAGACAGCAGATGGTGGTCGACATAACGACCTTAAGAAAGGATGCATACCGGCTCTTGAGACAGTGCGCCAGGTGGTGGACCGTGCGAGGTGTGCCATGGGAGGAATGAATGCAAGTGTTGAATGAGATGAGAATGCAAAGATGCCAAAAAGGTATGCAGAGCGGAGCGTGAGGGAGTGCAGGTGAAGTCGAGGCCGGGTCTTGACGCTCAATTGGGTCGTATTTATATGAGGGAGTAAGTAACGATCGAGTGGTACTATCTTTCTGCGATGTAAGATGTGTGCCCGCTTCCACTCCTCGGTCCTTGCTCAATCCCAGCAGTGTAGACAGTCTGGTATGTGCCTTGGTCTGACCATACTTGGGTACTGCTCCGAGACCGGAAAGGAAACAGGATGCCGAGGTGCAAGTCGTCCGCTGATGGTGCCTGAATTTAAGGTTGTGGTCTGTTTCATTTGTCCAGTGAAACGTTTCTTTCTAATTGTGCCGAGAGGGTCAGAATCATGCCACTCGCTGGCTCCACACTCTCCCCTTACTGTACACGCCCTCCTGTCTTGCTGCTATTCATTACAGCCCATTGGTGAACGGGTTAGGCCCAAACTAATTGGTGGCGACGAAAGTAAATGCTAGGCTTGAGAAGAGTAGCCTGTGTTTCGAGATACCCATCATTCGTTGATCCCCCTCGTCGGCTTCAGTCCACCAAACACACTCCGACCTCTCCTCGCGCTAATGGACGCCCTAAAATTCTGCTGCTGGTGGGCAACTATTTGAACATCAGGACTCTAGAATCCGCCCCGATCATCTACAAGTCTTGGTTCATTCCTCAGTCCTTCCTTTACTATTTTATCAACTGGCATGGACACGGAAGATAGCGCAAGGGCGATATTACCACCAGGTCTACACACCATATCCGGACCCTCGACATGTACTCAAAGACTAGAAGAAGAACTTCCTGTGGTTCCCTTGGAAACCCTAGATTTTTCTTTGGAGGACTTCGCACGACTGAGAGGGATCCATCTCGCGATGCATGGGCTTCATCCATCAACCTAAAGTTGTCTCATGGCCTTCATCAATCACAACCCGACACTCTCGAAGCTGAATATCACCAATGAAGAACGTCAAGCACCGTTCACCTGCAGGCGCCCGAATCTCGAGAAGCTCTAAACGCCAAGCTAGAGGACCCAGAGATGTGAGGAAAGAAACTCTACGCCTGCCACTTTTCCCTATCGGAAGGATTACTTTTCCGCGTCCCAATGCATTGCGGTTTATTATTCTCTCTTGCGTGTTATTACTTAAGATAGCGAGCTGCCATGGTCAACATTTATGGGCGCACAATACCCCGTGACCCTAGCTTGATCTCTTCATTGTTCATCGCTTTCGCTCCCGCTTTTTATCCGACAGGTTGCGTAGCGGTTTTGGGCCCCGGCTCAAGTATTAGAAACCATGCGACTCAGAATGTGCATCATAGGTATTTGGTTCCTCATTTTACATTAGTTTAGTGGGGGCCTTTTATTAGCTATCTTTAGGTAACTATCAGCCGGCTAACAGTCCAAGCCGAAGCTTGGACAATGCAGCCTGTGGCACGCCTGCACGCCTGGGGGGATCTGGCGTCAATAAAAAAAAAAAGCTTTCGCTCCCGCTTTTTGGTTTCTCTAACCCATTAAGTGCTTTTGTGAACTTGAAGACTGCTCTATATGTTGTCTTCAGAAAGTGCAGTCCATGCGCTAAAAGATTGGCAATCAGTAAAAGTCCAGATACCGTTGCTAATTTCCTGTTTGCAATACCTTCACCTTTCAAGCAGGCGAAAAGACATTCGTCGAGTCAACCGGTTTTGCTGACTGTACAGGGAGAGAAATCAGCCGTAGCGACGGTATCCACCATACTGTGGTTTGATGGCACCTTGAGTTTATGCGCCACGGACGCCATGCTACTGATCTTTTTGCTTGCCTCGCGGAAGCTCAAAGGCGGAATCGGTTTGCCCACAGCGCCGCGTTGATCTAATAGCCTCATATTTATCCTGCTTAAGCCTTGCACGTTCTGGATAGAGGTATTTGACACGGCTAGTCTATCATGCATCGAACCCTAATGCAGGCGCACCTGATAGCGATCCTCCTCCTCTATGACCTGCCACATGCGAACAGACATATCGGAACAGCCGGTTGCGAAATAGGTGCCGTTAAAAGTAGCGTTCCAGGTGATGCTTGTGATTGATCCATGGAAATCTTCAACAACTGCCAAACATTGACCCGAATTCACATCCCACAGCCGCACCGTATTGTCATGACTTCCTGAGGCGATCTGCTGGCCGCTGGGCGAACACACCACGCTCGTAATATGGGAGGTATGGCCGCATAAGGTGAGACCGGGTGCACCGGTTTGCGCGTCCCACAGTCGCGCTGTGTTGTCGCCATTGCCTGAGGCGATTTGCTGACCGCTGGGTGAATACACCACGCTATCAATCTGGCAGATATGGCCACGCAAGGTGTGGGCTTTTGTAACAAGACGAAGGAAGTGAAGAAGAGAACTGCCTTTATTAATATTTGCTGTGCACGAATATATATACTATAGTGACTATTGTTGCAGCTTTTTCCCAAGTCGAAGTGTCATACATGCTGATCGTACCGTTGTAGCCCTACCAACTTGGAGTACAGTGTGATGGGACAAGGGTGCGTGAAGCGACTTGGAATGTCGTGCAGGACAAGTGTTGCGCAAAAGTATAGTGAGGAAACAGACCAGGAACCATTCGGCCCTGTCGTTCTATGTTATTTATTGACCCAGAAAATCCCTTTAAATGCAACCCCTTCTGACTCTTCTCTAAATGCACACCTCTCTAAATGCACCCCCGTAACTGCACGTGCTGGTATGATCGTATGAGTGTCCTGAACCTGCGACCGTGCCTATTTCTGGAAATAGTGGCAATGACAAAGACCCGCCACCAAAGACCACTCCGTGTCCGCCGTCTCATTGTGAACTCTGTGTTCTTTGTGCCGATGCTCTTTGTCGTCTCGATAGACCACATCGACTGTGGGTCTATCGTCCGTAGAAAAATAGAAGGTCGTATCTGATTCTTGCTCTAGTTTTTTAGCACTTGTCTTTCTGTGATATAAAGTACTCCACAACTCACCTCGTTTCTCACTCTCTATGATTTCACTTAGCCTCCAATGGCCTCTTATTTACCTCTGGACTCTTCTTGTTACCTTTTCGGTCGATTCCCTCTATTTTATTGCACTTCACACCCAATTCCCTCACGATGAAGGTTGATTTGGATGGGCGAAATACAACAGTATCATATTACGTGTGGTGCGGATGGCTCTGAGCCCTGACAGAAACGCGTCGAAATTCATCCAGTCGCTTGACCGGTTCCTGTTAAAGAATTCATCAACCCCTGAGAAGTGTGGGATCGAGTCGGATTGTACAAGGACGAATTCAGGATGCGGCTCCATTTTGACTGACAGACATGGACGATGGTTGGAGCAGCAAGAGATGTAAAATTGCTTGCCAATTTGATCGCATATTCTTCTAATGCATCACTGTTTTTTAGCTTTTCTTGTCATGATTCAAGTACCGCCTTGCAGATGGTTCTACGAAGGCATAGTATTTTCTAGCGATGCTATTTACTTCCTCGTATGGATTGCGCGGCGAAGGGGCCTCTCTATCCGCACTGGTTTTGTGAGTTCAAGGTAGTATTACCGCAGCTGAAATCCGCACTGAAATTAGGCGTGGTCCTCCCCTTCTTTTCTGCTTCAGCCGGCAACGCCATCCATGCTCGCTGTTATCTAGCTTTCTTGTCACGATTCAAGTACCGCCTTACAGATGGTTCTACAAAGACATAGCATTTTCTGGCGATGCTATTTACTTCCTCGTATGGATCGCACGGCGAAGGAGCTCCTCTACCCGCACTGGTTTTGTGAGTTCAAGGTAGTATTACCGCAGCTGAAATCCGCACTGAAATTAGGCGCGGCCCTCCCCTTCTTTTCTGCTTCAGCCGGCAACGCCATCCATGTTCGCTGTTGTCTAGCCTTCTTGTCATGATTCAAGTACCGCCTTGCAGATGGTTCTACAAAGGCATAGCATTTTCTAGCGATTCTGTTTACTTCCTCGTATGGATCGCACGGCGAAGGGGCTCCTCTACCCGCACTGGTTTTGTGAGCTCAAGGTAGTATTACCGCAGCTGAAATCCGCACTGAAATTAGGCGTGGTCCTCCCCTTCTTTCTATTCTCGCTAGTATGTTCATGGCTGGGTTGGATTACCTGTGCAATATGCTTTGAAACTATGAATTTTAATAGATGCTGACGAGGCCTTTCGGGCGATATAAAGAAGGCGCGATGGCGAGTGTAATAGGAACAGCATCAGAGTCTGTAGAAGTAGAAGGAACAACAGCAAAGAAACTGTCTTGGACGCGCACTGTACGTTGTCATGCTCACTCACTGGAGTTACAGGCCCATTTGTCCCTGCAGTGGGGTTAATTAGTGTTCATGAGTGTGCTCATCAAGATGATACATTGAGTGCCACAGCTTACTAGATACAGTGCGACGCGTTCTGACTCAAGATGATCTATGTGATCCGACCCCGGGCTGAAGGTCCTTGGTGGTTTGAAGCAATTGCAGGCACTTCAGTTTGTTCCGTTGTAACAAGACAGGCCTCGAAAGAGTTCTAATGGGTAATGCAGAGTTGATACAAGCTGTAACGTGTTGCGAGCTTCGTTCGCTAGACTGATGGTAAAGGTCAGGGATGAAAAAGATGATATAAAACAAGTCGGCGTTTGCCTCGGATGTAAAAGTTATAGGTGTTTTTGACTGTTGCCGTCGTAGTGAATAGCAACCAACGCAAGCAAGTATTAGGCGCTGCTTTGCCACCTCGTTTATAAATCAGATACCACTCACCAAGATCCGATTCTCCTCGTTGTGGCATTGGCAGCGCTACCGAGTCCTTCCAATTCTAAAGAACGTGTCTAGACTATACAATGCTTTCTTAATAATTGGTGAGAGTTTCATCAATTGTTGAGGAACGGTAAGCGACGCAAGCAAGTACCGGACATAGCCGCACTTCTAAACGGCTTCTCAATACCAGGTGTCTCCGTGTGGACTATTAAGGGACACGCTGCGTCGATGAAGGTGTATATAATTTGGTTTACAGACTTTTCACAGATGTTGCTGTATGTCAATCCGCACTTCTTAAGTGAATAAACAGCAAAACAACTACTCCTCACCTGCATCAGATCATCAGCTCAATTCGACTGTTGCCTTATCTCGATGGTTGTATCAGAACTATTATGATCGATAGGCAAACACTAGAGTACAAAAAAGCATAGTATCGTGCAGCAGCGGTGCGTAAAAGATGGAGTGCTGCCTTCACTTCACCATGCTCTGCGCATTTTTCCCGCAAATGAAACGACTCACGGAGTTCATCCTCGAATTCAGAGAACACTGCTTGGGACCGACTCACGAACACGGCCAGATAAAGCCTTGTCCTCTCCAAGCTAGAGGTATAAGACTTTTTCATGAGGGTCTTACGTTCTATTGGGGCGAAAGACTTCGTATCGTAGATTCATTTTGATTGAACAGCATGGGGGTATTTCCTGAGAGCATAAGCATGTGTCTCCTTTGAAGAGTCGCAAGTTCTTTACTGCAGAGCCAACTTCAATTACGCACGTTGGATGAGAATCCAGATTTTTGCAACCTACGACATCTGAAGTTATACGGTATGAGGGACACGATGGACGCCCAGAACCTCGGATCGCTCTCCTGGATCGATTTTGATAAATGGAAGAGGATACCTAGTTAGGGACTCTTTCCGATCGGAAGGTCTTGCTTTCCACGCGAAATATTTTTTTTATTTAAAATACTTTTTCAGCAGCGGAATGTCACCGCTACTTTACAGCACCGCACGAGGATGAGTGTCCTATTCGCCAATGCATGAAAGTATAGTGATTGCGCGCACCCCCCGTAGTATATATGCCTTCATGGTGCATGTGTGTCTGCATCCTGCTCCTACATGCACAGCATTCTGCCGTTGTACAGGGAAACTGAAGCACTAGCTGGAAGTGCGCGCTCGCTGTGTCCAACGAGAGCTCTGCACTGCGAGATGCTCGAGTACCGGTCAGAACATAGAGAGGCTTTTAGCCAGCCTGTAGCTTTGCTCCAACTCTCGCGCCTCATGCAGCATGTACTCAATTGTGAGCTGTGCATCGGATTCCGCATCGACTTTGCTCAGCTGCCCTGTCTCGCACAGAGAGTAGTCTACCACGCTATTTTTCCATCCTGCAACAGGCAGTAATCGAATAAATGGCAGCTTGATGGCCACTCGGGACAACAGACCAGGGACATAGATGTCTTCATATCGGCGGAGATAGACAATAGTACTAGTGTACCCAGAGACGTCCAGGAAAACCATGTAGTCACCATTCTGAAGATCAAACTTTGCATGTCGCTGTAAGTAGTCCATAATCGCCTTGTTGATTCGAATGTTCTTCCGTGATTGCTTCTTGTTCTCCTCAATATCCACCCCAACAGCCTTGAACTCGCTGTTGTTTAACTCTAGGCTATCGAAATGCAGGTGGAGATCCATCTTCCGGCCACAGACGCCCTTGCTCGCTCTACTAAACTCCTGCTCTTGAAGGGTTCTGATCTCTTTCGTAGCGTTAGATGTGAGCTCGCCACTAAAGAAAAGATGCAACAAAATACCAGTTGCAAGACCGCACGAGCAAGAACATTAGTAGCAAAGAACACTGTGAGTACATACGTCTCGAACTTGAACAACCCTTCCGAGATGAAATCAAGAACAGCCTTCCATGTAATAAAATACACTGGATTCGGCTGAATATGCAGCAGTGCTGATTCTTCGATGTCATTAATCAACGCATGCCGAACATGTCCCTGGTGTCAGCAGCTCGAAGATTGATTACTCCTGGTAGTGCCACTAGGAGGCCCTGCTCATGCTGGAGGGCAGTTTTCCTGTCTTCGAGGTTGGCACAGATGTACGTATATAACGCCTTGCGCGTCAAAGACAGGTTGTCTCCAGAGGGGATCGGCGTGTCTGATTGGCCATGGCGCAGAATGTCATGCATAATCTTCATAAGTGAGCCCCAAGGCTCGCAGAAGGATGACAAAGCTTCCAGCGCCTCAGTTCGGGTTCACTTTCGAACAAACTCCTTCTCTCGCTGGTTGGTGGTAGGATGCTGCTGCTTTGTGATGTCTTTGACCAGCTCATCTTCAGCGTAAATGATGAGTGAAGCGCGCTCGCAAAGGGGTCCTCTCGCACTTTTTCCTTGTGTACAAAAAATAAAAAAGAATACACGAATTCAGATTTTGGACAAAGCAAATATTATATTATTGCAAATTACACTCTACCATCGCATGCTCAGCAGCTCGTACGGCAGCCTCCTGTCTCATCAAACGAGATCGAACTTGGAAGTCTGGCAGCTGTAGTAATCATTGACTGATTAATCATTGTAAAGATGAATCATTGTAAAGACGAATCATTAAGACCAACAATATAAGCAACATACCGTAATCGTGTTGAGGAGCTCAAGAGCGATTGTCTTCTCATAGTATCCAGCCTCTGATGTATCGTGGATCAGATGCAAAAAGCCTCCAAAGGCTTTGTAGTGGGTATTGGCATCATTATTCGGACGTTTACTCATGAAACTGCTGATATCCTTCCAACGAGAAGGCTCTTGTCGGAAGTGTGCAGGTAGGCGGTCCATGTTGTAGTATGAGATGGGGGATGGTGACAAAGAGTGGGAAAATGTGATGTTTTATGTACCTGAGTGTGAGTCAAGGAGACAAAAGAGCGTTCTTGTTTATTATGCTCCCGGTAGGGGTTTTTATAGCCCTGATCTGGAGCTTGGAGTATTAGATAGCTTAATAGTCTCATGAATAGAAATGGAAGTGGCCAAAATACCCCGTTCCTCAACCGCCAACTGTTCGCGTGCTTACTTGTATGAACTGGCGCGTTATCTTCCATGAAAAGGGCGTTCTTCACTTGCGACATGAACCTCTTTAATTCCTTCTCATACACCGTGTTAATGAATCCCGGTCCTTTATTGTTGTTGCCGTCGATAATGACAAGATCTGATTTTTTCTCTCCCGCGATTGCTCCCCATACCATAATTTTCGTTCTTCCACTTCGAAGACGAGGTTGGATGTTCTCTGGATGATACTTCTCTTCTTTAGTACGCCAGATGCGGATCGTCCTGAAGTCTTTGCCTATTTCGAAGCAGGACTCATCAGACCAAATGACCCTTTCCCAGTCAATCCACGTCCACTTTTCTTTGTCTCGCGCGAATGCTAATCGGGACTCAACATGCCTTGGCTCTAAACGAGGTTTCTTGACGACAACGCGACAAAAGATCCTGCTGTTATGGAGAACTCTGCGTAGTGTATTCTTGGAAACAGGCTTAGGCGACTCTGCAACTATCTCTTGAAGAGCCATACGGTTGTCGCTCTTGACCTTGTTGACAGGCTGCTCGACATCCAGTTCTCCGAGAATTGGTGGTCTTCCAGGTTGCTTCTTGGGAACAACGGTGCCATCTTTATCCCACTTTTGCACGATCGAAAGGACTGACTTGATGCTGAGATTGTGTTTTTTTTTTTGGCAATGTTGGATGGGGTCATACCAGCCTCGTGGGCTCCAATGATACGACCCTTGAGTTTGACAGAATGGTGTTTGGGCATGGTGGTGGAGTGCTGGAGTGCTGGAGTGAAAGAAAGATAATGACGAAGAGGTTTTACAATGGCTTACTGAATTAGTCTTTGAGCTCATTTCAGTCGTATTCTAATCCTTAGTCTCATAATCTTTGGGAGGGTACTGTACGGCAGAGGCTGGAGGATGACAGCCTCGGGCTTGGGCCTCTTGAAACAGCTGTTTGACCAAGTCTGAAGGGGCGTTTTTGATTGGATGAGTCCCAAACCTTGGGCAGCAGCGACTTTCTTTGTCCAATAGGATGCAGCAGACGAGGACAAACAGAAGTGCACGCAAGTACACAGCCGCCATGGTTACACAGGATCGCCATTTACAGCACCAGAATAACCATTGCCAACGCGCCCGTTCTGGTTCCTCACTCCGTTTTTTGGCATCCACACTGGCGACCACTTGCAGCTCCCTAAGTTTTCTTTTTTCGCCGTACTGGGCGAGTAAGTGGCGACTTGAGGTGCTCATCGGAGGTGCAACGTCCCTTCAGTCATGATTTGGAAGGCTATTTCCTTTGTAGCACCTTACGGGAACCTTTGACGCCTTCCCCCTCGATCAGAATTGTCCGCTGCTATGCATGTCACTGGCTGCTGCGCGGCCATGGGCTCAGGGCGCGCCTCTTCTCTTTGCCTGGGAATACATTGCAGCGCCCCGTCTCTCACATGCACCTATGATGGGCCTGTTGAACAAATGAGTGGTGCCAACTTTTTTTTTTTTTTTTTTACTGGGATTTGAGGCACCGCGAACATGACCGCAAGAGTTCTTTATTTCTTTATTTTTTTTTTTTTTTTTTTTTCTACTGGTGGCCTCTAGAACCTGTTGTGTGTGTCTATGCCCATCCATACTATATAAAGGACAGCTCATCGGGACTTAACTATTGCTTCCTCACTCCTCACTCCTCACATTCCTCAAACCAGCAAGTGTAGGTCTCTCGCACATCAAACATACGAAGAAAAACAAACGGAATCTCGCACTACGCGAGCCAGATCACTTTTTTTTTTTTCCTGATCTTTTTTTGCCTCCCTGTCTCCCCTAGATCATACGGCTCAAAATGTCAATCGTCAACAAGTCTGCTCTCCTCTTCCTCGTCGCCTTGGTAGTGCTTGGCCTTATCAGTCAGAGTGCTGATGCTGTCACGATCCCTGCCTGGTGCACCTGCAGCAACGACAGCACCAAGACCCAGGGTTCCTGCAACTACGCCGGGGCTAACTGGGATGGCGGCTCTTGCGGCCTTGACTCTCTGTCCAAGTATAATGTATTCTTGCAGGTCTGTGCTACTACTCTTCACGGCCAGTACAGGTGCTGGCACTAGGTCACACAAAATGACGGGAGATCATCCGCGTCCTCAATCGATCCGTTTATTGATTGATTGATTGATACTCGGACATACCCGCCCTCCACATTTAACGATGCGATGACATCTGTCCGTCTACCATCAGAATAAAGCCCAACATTCACTTCATTCGCGAGCGCTGCATTCGAAGGAACAACGTCCCCTCTTTTTTTTTTTTTTTTTTTTTTTTTTTTCGCTGATTCTGGTGGCGTTCATTATATAGTTGATGACAGGAGAATGTAAGCATCTTTCTCTTGGATCTGTGCATGCTCAGATCTTAGCCTACATGCATACCTTGTATCCTTGTATGTTGAGAGTAGGTGGACTATTCGCTCCGAAATGCTCCAGCTGTAGAAAGATGCCCGTGATAATTTTGCAGCTTCTATCCATGGGCATCCTTGCCGCTTCGTCTCAGAATTTCCCACTTTCTGACCATCTACTCTCAACAGGCGGTTGCAGATGATCCGATTTCTCCTCCATACAGTATCACAGACCAAGTCAAGCACATGGAGGCTAAAAACAAAACAAATAACAAGAATAAAAAACCCCCTGCAGATGCAGGCACAGCGGCGTACCGAGAGGCAGGGCTGCCTTGATGATATTGACCCAGTAATGGACGCTGTCAGCTTCGGAGGGTACAACACCGCCGACAATAGGCGCCAAGACGTGCTTGATGCTACATAATAAATAGCATACTCATTATTGTTTAAAAAGAAGCCTTTTTACTTCCATACTTCCACACACACACAGTTCGACTCGAACTGAACCATATCCTGAACGACCGCATAGCGAAGGGTCTTCTTGATCTGCTCGTATTACAGTGACCATACTGAATGGATTAGCTCTGGACTCCACATCATAGTTCACAGGTCCGTTGCCGCGTGCTCCTGATATCCCCTTATCCAGCCTCAGCTTTAATTCAGAGAAGGGTACGGCGGCATGCATGAATGTATATGGACAGTTCATGTCCCACTTGAAGTGGCATCGATTTAATGGCAGCATTCAATGCGATATATAAATCGTTCAGTGCCTGGAAATGCTCTCATCCTGAAAGTCTCCTCCGGCTCGATGTCAGAGAACGGTTTCCTCCAGAGCTTTCGTATTTATTTCTTTTCAATTAGCGACTGATTATTGTTGACAAGCATTCACCCGAAAATATCGTAAATATACAGTTTAATACTCTCAGAGCAGCAGCCCGGAGCGCATTCTCTTGCACTGGAATGAATTGGAATGAGGGATTTTATTCGACAGAGTTTAATCCACATGGGTGGAGTAATAAAGCAAGACTACGTAGGTCGGCCGTTAGCCTTTGCAGCGTGGGGAGATCAGATGCGAGATTGAGATCGAGGTAACAGAAGGGATTGTTCATATCTGAGGATGGCAAAGGCAGTTGAGCCACTGTTTAGTGGAGTGGCTGCGGTGTTTAAACAAGAGAACGAGGGGGGCCTGACATGGCATGTTATGGTGTATGGTATGGCATGGTATGGTATGGCATGATATGGCAGGTATAGCATGATATGGCATGATATGGTAGGTATAGCATGATATGGCATGATATGGCATGATCCCGTTTCTCTGGAAGACGCACATGCGGGCACCTCCGTCCTTGGGATTCCTTTATTTAGTTTTTAATTTTCATTTCATTTAGTTTGTTTGTCAAGGGCTCACCTTTTGTTTCTTTAAGGAAGCGGGAAAAGAGAGAAGAGGAGCGAGCAGCAGCGTACATGTACCATGCTCTGGCATCATTGGTATGGCCAGCAAGAAGACATCGAAAGACATGTGCGCGAAACATACCGCTTTACACAGCAGAGGAGATATGGATTCCAAGACACGGTGCCACGCACCGGTATGTTCGGTTCGCATGGGCATCCTCCCTGTTTCTCCCTTTCGCATCTGTTTCTCCCTTCTCGCTTTTCATACGCCCCATCGCTTTCATCAGAGGAAATTCCATCTCATCAGCCAGCGCTCCATTCCCGCCTTTCTATTTCTTCATTGTCATCACCACCACCATCATCATCACCATCATCACCATCACCATCATCATCATCATCATCATCCATCGCTAAACCACCACCCAAAGCAGTTGCTTTTGTTTGGAGTCCACTCCCCTTGCTATGAAGGCTGTGCTACAACGCCCACCACCAACAATCATCAACCAATCATCAACAACACGGGCAGCGCACGAACCACTAGTACACCGCCCCCTCAACCTGTAACACACACGCACCGGTACACGGTACACGTACAACCCTTGCCACTCCGACCACGCACATTCGTACCACATTCTCTACCCACCCCACTCTCTGCACTTCCTGTGTCCGACCAACCTGCCCGCATTCACTATCACTAAGAATATCACTAAGAAAAAAAAAAAGAAAAAAAAAAGAAAAGAAAAGAAAAGACGATTCGAACTGTGAGTGAATGAGTAACTGCGTTGCTGCTGGTGTGCGATGCGGATGAACCTTCTCTCCTCCGTACTTTCCTACGTCAAGTTGACCTCACTGTTCGCCCGCCAAATTTCTTTTTTTTTTGTGCTCACAAAGAAGCCCCTATTTTGTTTTATATGTACCGACTGGCTGTAGATAAACGTTTCGCATCGCATCGCATTCGATTTACCAGGGCCTGTTATTGTCATTATCGGTGTAATCATCGTCATAAATACTCTTAAGCACACTTAAGCACACTTAAGCTCCCAACAACAGGAACAGAACAGGCACTAAACAAACAATACAGTCAGCAACAGTGCCTGCCGATCGCTTATTGCTCAAGACACATTCCATCGCCAGCTTGAACGCCAGAGGAAGACCAGCTAATGACCAGCGATGGTCACGAGGACACATCCAGACCTGGCACCAACAGCACCACAAATAACACCAGTGCCAGCACCAACACTGGTAGTCCCGACACCAATAGCACCAACAGTAACGGCATCGGCTGCCAAAAAGAACGTCTGTACCTGTAAGTAAAGAGCGACAGACACACCAACCATGTGATGTACAATGAACAAGGAGTATGAGAAAACGCGATAAGGAGACGCTCTACATTTTTTTTTTGCCATGCTGTTCAGCATGCAGCTTTGTTTGTTTCCCTCCTATTGAGAACATCATTGCAGCATCTAACTAAAGCCCGCCTTTGTTCATCCTTCCCCCCCATATCGTCATAATGTGCTTGTCTATGCATATTACATATGTAACATGGTCAAACAAAAAGACCCATGTCTATCCGCGCGAGGAAGACTCCAGGCATCTCTTCACACCAATTGCCCTCAGTGAACACTGCGCGCAAAACGCCTGCACACACAACCCGCCCACGATTTACCAGAGCAAGAAAGACTGCCACATCATCCTCAGCCGCTTCTTTGATTCCAACCTCTACCTTTACCTCTGCCTCTGCCTCCACCTCCACCCCAACTTCCACTTCCACTCCCACTTCCACGTCAGCCTCAGGTCGGAGGACGAGGAGACCTATTAATTACAGACATCCTCATACCAACAGCCATACAGATCCTATCTCAGTCCGGGGACAATCCTCCATTTCTTCTCGCATCCCTTCCCCCCCAGCCTCCTCCTTGTCGAGATCTATCCGCAGCAGACACAACCATCGCCACTCAATCCTCCCAACATACGATAGCGACACCGACTGCCTTTCGACCGTCTCACACTCCTCCTCGGGCCCACTATCTTCCTCAGCGAGCACAGCACCCATTCGTCGAGGAAGAGTGTTCAAAATCTTCAAGAAGCCGTTTTGGCACCGCCAACAGCAACACCAGGAGACTCCGAGGCCATTCTCCCCACAGCCATTCAATACCATTTCGCCCCTGGGCTCAACACCACACTCTCAGCACCCCACCCCGTCCTTATCTCGCTCCCCTTCCGTTATAGACTCTCGCTCGTCTTCGCCACGCCGGCGTCAACGTACCACATCTGGAAGGAGTATCGGCACATTGGAGAGCAACCCCAGGATATCTCACGAAAACTTGGTCATGACATGCAAAGTCGAGCTACTGGTATCACCGCCTACCTCTGACAACCACTCTTCAGCAGTTCCAGTTCCTTCTTCAATGCTCTCGATACCAAAACCAAAAAGGCGGCGAAGCAGAAAGAAGCAGCAGTGGGCCAGTAATTATGTGAGCGACGAGGAGGATGCTGTAGTATCTTCTACGGACGTGCAGGACTCTACATTGAAGCCCCTTGGCACGTCTACGACGTCACTTCAAGTATTGAATGAGAACCACAGGAACAGGAGTGGCTCCTCGTACTATGACTCGCCCTGTGCTTCCTCGCCATCAAAAACAGCGAACAGTATTCAGAGCAACTTGGACGGTCGATCTCAGAACAGACTATCATCAAAAGGGGATTCCATAGAGGCCACGACAGTATTACCCCAGCTCTTGTCGCCGCCTTGGGGTTCATTCGAAGAAAAGGCAACCTCTCAACACAGAGGATTTCAGGCTGGAGAATCATCTGAATTGGAACGCGGATCTGATGAGGCCAGCATAGACACCGTACTGACTGAGGCGTACATAGAAAGGGTGGCGAAGGCAAAGTACCGTAAGTCGTTATCTTCAGTCGTTGGCAGGGGATCGCCAGAAAGAATCCGTCCGGCCCTGGCAACTATCATTTCCTTTACCCAACCAAATGGCACATCGATGGATCTCTCAGAAGAAACTGAGTTGCTAATGACACCGCCGCCCTCTGCCACACTTGGATCATTGGAGAGTCAGCTCAGAGTAACGCCGACAGCAAGGGATGCGTTTGCGGAAGCATTTTCGACAGCGAGTACATCTTCGCGACAGTTAACTGTTTTTGGTAGTAGCAACCAGGGGACGTCTACGCCAGCGCTATCGCCAGAACTAAGTCCGAAAGACAGGAGGGCAGGATCGGCCGCGAGCACCGGAAAGCTGTTGTCGCCGCCGGCGCTATCCCCACCATTGCTCCAAGTTCATCCACTGTCGCAATCTGGATCATCAGTTGCAGAAAGTGGTTTGAGTCGGGGATTTTTAAAGTCAACACCTCCATCTTTTACCGCAGCGGCACCAACATCTCTGCAGTCGCCAACGACAAATAAGGGCGCTCCGCCACCGCCTCCACCACCCCCACCACCACCACCACCCCCAACCAAATTCAATCGCAGTGCACGTACGTCTTTGCAAATATCGACTCAAGTTACTTCGGAATCATCCCAGCACGCAGGGACCCCCCCGCCTCCAACGCCAGTGACTCCGAGTAGAAGCGTCATGGCAAGGCACGTCTTGCGCTGGGACGCTCTTTCGCACGGAGACATTTCGCACACAGTGTTCGATGCAGACCATCATTACTATCATCATCACCATCACCACCACCGCCATCGTCGTGACCATCTGCAGCACCATCAGCGCCAGCGCAACAGTTTGAGTAATGGCAGAGAAATAGGTCATGGATCAATGGGCTCAGCAAGTCGGAAATCTTCATTGTCCGCCACACCGGAAACACCGAATGATACGCTTTCTCCGAAATGTACTTCAACAGGCAGCTCATTTGCTTCAACGAATACCGAAGCGATCTTTAGCAATGCAAACTATGTGCATGTCGAAGCAGGGGACCAAACCGCCACTCGAATGTCCTTTGATGGTTGTTCGACAAATCTTCGATCGGCTGTTTCGTATGCTGAAGCCGCTTTCATGGAGTGCGTTCAAGGAGATAAGATGGGCCAGCCAGAGGGTCTACCCCATGGCGAGCCAGGTCCCAAGGAAGGAGTGCTTTCAGGCCCGAATACGTTTCTAGTCTCACCTAAGGACGGCGGGACCGGACCAGTGGCAAAAACTCTGACCATCGAGATGGATGTCCAGAAATTTGAAGGTATGAATTCCGGAGTACACGTCTGAGGAAAGAAATATGATATCTTTTTGATTAGGAGCTAACAACAACGACGACTTGTACATTTTAGAAATGTTCTGTATCGACCCTGCCGAGGAGCAAAAACGTCTCAAGGCCAAGGAAGCGAGCTTGCAAGCAAAGTATGTTTATGCAAATCTCTATCGATCTCCACTCCAGTTAATCGCATCGCAACCGGATATCAACCTTTGCTCTTTTCACTCAACTAGGTCAAAGCCCAAGGATGTGGCATTGTTAGACGTTCGAAGAGCAACCAATGTCTCTATCGGACTATCGCGTCTCATGAAACATTATGAATCCTTTGACGTACTGCGATCCATGCTACTGTCGCTCGATGTCACACCCACCACTGCACTAACGCCCTCGCCGCCGAGGAACAGCATCTTCGCGTCTGAACCATCCACATCAGGGTTTTCTGGACTTGCACCATCGTCTCATCTAAGCAGCGGTGTCACCAGTTCAACACCAGTCCTCTCAGGCGGTCGTCGCAGCTCAAGTGCCATGCGGTCTGGAGCACCCATTTTCTCGAGTGCCTCCAACCCGTCAGCCGCGAGTGGTTTGCTGTCCCGTTCCGGCTCCTTGAAGAACTCCAATTCTGCATTTTCAACATTCTTGTTATCATCTCCACCTCCTGCAGCATTTGCATCACACCCATTGTTCACCTCTGGGCCATGTTCGCCAACGCCCTCGACTGCAGACACAAGCAATTCGTCTCGGTCCTTTTTTAGCTCCCGATCTTCGACGCCAGCTGTATACCACCAGTATTTGAGCCTAGACGACTTGTTGACGTTGGAGCCGCTGTTGCCGACAGAGAAGGAGCGATCGATCTTGGAGGTTTACAAGCGTCAAAATCGAGCAGAGTTTTTGGCGAATGAAACTGAGGCGGTTCAGAAATTGGGTCTATCGGAGCGATTTATGCATGCGATGAGCAGGCCCATCTTGGCACCCCTGCCCGGACAGGCTACTGCAGGCGAGTCTTCCTCGCCATCATCATCATTACAGTGGGCAAAAGCATCTCCTGCCATGTTAAGAGGAGGATTTTCGTCCGTTAACTTGAAGAGGTTGGGCAGATCGTCCGTACTATCAGCCTTGGCTGCTGGTGGCACTGGCGAATCGTTCGTAGACGAAGATCCACTTATGATCGACGACTATGTCTTTGCAGCGATCTACATGCTCCGTTTCGACTCGGATATGGACTCGGCAGCAGCACAGGTTCAGGAACTTATGGAGGGATGTGATGCGCTTCGGATGAACGAGCACCTAAAGACCCTGTTCTTGGGCGTTTTGAAGGTCGGTAATATGCTCAACACGGTCTACGGACGCAAGAAGCCGAGCTGGCAGCAACAGCACCACAGCAACTATCAGCAACCGTTGTCTGCACCGCCCCAAGTGTTGACGCCCGTGGCGGCTCCGAAGTTGCATGGGGTAAAATCCATGCCAAACATGATGATCTCTGCCAGCGCTGGTGCTAAGGCCTCTCCTCCTCCACCACCGCCCCCACCCCCACTCCGAGCAACATCATATGCTGGTTCTCTTGCACCACCGCCCCCACCTCCATCTCCACCGCCACCAATGCCGGTACTTAGGGTTGCACCTGGATCCGGTGCTCCGCCTCCACCTCCACCACCTCCACCACCTCCACCACCTCCACCCATGACTGGTACAGCCAAAATTGGGAAGACATCTTTGCCTGGTCCACAAGAGCGGTCCTCCAGTGCGGCGACTACACCAGGCACGGTACCGCCGACGCCATCAGCGAATGCACAGCCGAACCCGACTCAGCAAGGAGCGGCCGGGTTCCGTCTGCAGTCTCTTCTCAAGCTGCGTGATGTGCGTAGTGCTGACAACAAATCGAACCTGATACATTACCTCGCCAACATGGTTGCCAAGACCAACCCTGAGCTCTTGAGCTTGCCAGAGGAGTTTGCGTTCTTGAGCAAGCTGGAGCAGCATCGAACCAAGGAGATTCTGGATCAGGTGCTCGATCACCAGAAGGCAATCAAGAAGCTGAGGGATTTCCGAAGACGGCTGGCAGGAAAGGTCGAGACATTGACCAAGGCTATCCAGGAAGCGGCGAAGATCTCTAAGAAACAAGAGAATAGTATCGAAGGTGATGAGGATGGTGATCAGAAGAAGACTCAGGGTCCCCCTGTGGACGCGGATGTAGCTCAAAAAGAGGAGCTGGAAACAGCGCGACAAGTCCTGATCAAGCTGGACAAGTTTTTGAGCAAGGCTCAGACTCGATTTGAGGATTTGGTGGATCTGGTCGAGACCCTGGACTACAGCTGGAAATCGACAGCGATTTATTTCGGCGAAAAGACGGCAGCGGACATGGCAGGGATGCCCTCGGTACCCTCATACTCCACCGCAAGCGGCCCGAGCACTTCAACAAGGACGAGAGTCAACAACTTTGGTCCATCTTCATCACAGCGACAACAGCAGCAGCAGATGGTCAACAAAATGCAGACGGGACCACGCAAACCACCAGAGGAGATCTTTGCGGTGATCCACGAGTTCCTTCGATACTTCCGGGAGGCTCACCTTCAGAACGAGGATGCGCAGACCCGAGCAAATCGTCAGGCAGCAGCTGCAGCGGCTGCAGCGCTGCGTTCTTCTGCGTCTTCATCAGCGTCATCGGCTTCGCGACGGTCGTCAGCAAGTGGCGGAAAAAGTTTGTCTTCTACTTTATCACTGAGAGGCGCCCATGCGCGTCCTTAAGTCTTTGTTTTTTATTATTGATATTGCATTGTTATTTTTTTCTGCCATTTTGTACTTTTTATATTACACCTCCTTGTACTATATATACCCCACTATTTCTTAATGAAAATAAAGCCAAAAGCATTGTTGCAGATGACATTAAGAGCGATAATATGGGCTGTTCGACTCGTTTATTAACTAGTATGGTCGGTCGGAAAGTATGTAGACCTTTTTTTTTTGGCTTAATCCAAGCGCTGTCGCTTACGTGCCAGGTCACCCAGTGTCTCCTTCTCGTCAAGATCTATCCGCTCATGCAAGAAAGGTCTCTTGCCTTCTCCGGTCCCGTAGTCTGCGGTAGCATGTCCGTTTCCATGCAACTGATACTTGTAAATGACCAAGCCTTCCAACCCAACAGGTCCACGCGCATGGGTTTTGTTGGTACTCACGCCAACCTCGGCTCCGAATCCGTAGCGGAACCCATCCGCAAACCGTGTGCTCGCATTCCAGTAGACACCCGCAGCATCGACACCGGCCATGAACTGTTTCGCCTCTGGCTCGTCCTCGGTCAAGATCGCATCTGTGTGCTTGGATCCGTGATTGTTGATGTGCTTAATGGCTTCTTCGACAGAGTCAACGGTCTTGACGGCGAGCGTGAGTTCTAAGAACTCGGTGTGGTAATCTTCTTCGGTACTCGGCTGGATCTTATCGGCGGACTCACTGCTCTTGAAGATATCTGCGAGTGTGGAGGAGGGGTTCTGGAGACTGGCGAGGGATGGTTGGTCGCATTTGAGGGTAACGCCATTGTCGATAAGGGCCTTGGCAAGCTGGGCAAAGAAGTCGGAGGTGAGGTGGGAGGAATGGACGAGGAGGGTCTCGGTCGAGTTGCAGGCGGCAGGGTAGGTTGTTTTGGCATCGACGACGACCTTTTTGGCGAGATCGAGTTTTGCAGACGAGGCCACATATGTCGAGCACAGTCCGTCGGCATGACCCAGCACTGGGATTCTACAGAAAGAAAAAAGCACACTTGCTTAGTGCCTTTCTTTGCATCCACATTCAAATATAGAGAAAAAGAAAAAGAAAAAGAAAAAAAAAAAAAGAAGGGGGGGGGGGGGGGGGAAGGAGGGCTTTACCTGGTGTTCCACTGGATGTACTTGACGAGGGCATTGCTTCCTCTGGGAACGACTAGATCAATATACTTGTCCTGCTTCAGCAACCCATCAATATCCTCTCTCGATTCCACAATCTGCACCGCATCCGCCAAACACCTTGCCGCCTTATTTCCGCCGCTGCTGGTACCATCTACCACGGTCGCGGACACCTCCTCCAATGCCTCCCTGATCGCCTTTCCCACAGCCTCACACGTATGAAAACTCTCCTTGCCACCCTTCAAAATCGCCGCGTTCCCGGACTTGATCGCCAACGCCGCAATATTCGCAACCACTTCCGGTCTCGCCTCAAAAATCACCAGCAACACACCAACGGGACAGCTGACTCGATACAGCTCCAATCCATTATCCAACCTGTTCGCAAGCAAGACCTTCCCGACTGGATCCTCAAGCTCTTCAATATCCTTGATCCCCTGAAGCATCGTCTCGAACTTCCCGGGCCCCTCGAGGTCAAGACGTTTGTAGAGTGAGGAAGAGAGCTTTCCAGCTTCCACCTGGGGCAGAGCCAGGGATTTGTCCTTGGCGTTCGCGGCCAGGATCTGGGGTTTTGCGTTGGCGAGTTTGGTGTGGATGGCGGTTAGGAAGGCGGATTTTTGGGACGTAGTCAAAGTCTGGAGGATGTTGGCGGCGTCCCGGGCACCAGAGGCGATTTGCGTCAGACGATCCATTGCTGGGGGGGGGTTATTGACTGGTTCCTGAGAGTTGGTGAGCGTGTTCCTGCAGCGAGCGGGAAGGTATCCTTGTTCCTGAAAAAAAAAGAAAATGAGGGAGTGAGAAGAAAAAAACTGAGTAGAGGAGAGATAAAGTGTGATGCCGACAAATGAACGAATGACATGGCATGATATGATTTGAGTCACTTCCAAATGCGGGGGGATATCGTTCGCCAGTCACTCTCGCAAAAATTACTTAGCAACCGGTGTATTTTGATAGTGGGAAGTCCTATTTATCGGCCGGTGTATTTCGATATGATGGATTTTGGTATATGTCGCAGCGATCTTTACGCGTCCGGTAGCTTCTTCTGGGACAATATCTTTGGACTTGGTCGCACTGTTCTTGCCGAAATGAAGAGATTGTCGACGTTCCAGGTGTCGATACCATACAGTGGTCGATGGGGTCTTTCTTTTTGTATATATGTATCCCTATCGCGGCCATCGTGTTGATGTCCAAATGGCAGCAGGGAGGTGTAAGCTGGTTCATTAAACCCCAGGTTAAGTCTTGATGTATAAGATCCAGACCGGCAAACGACCCTTCTAGCATATATACCAAAAGTTATTTAAATGCTGGAGCCTTCGCATATGTCTCTTTCCATCTCTCTGTGTTCTGCTATGGCAAATTGCAAGACAAGCTGAAGAATTTATCGATAGCATGATTGGTAACATCGAACAGATGCGGCAAGATACAGCAACGATGAGTTTCAACCGTCGCACTTTTATTGCTTACTCTCACTGTTTGTCATGGTCCTCATCTCTGGCGTTCAGAGCCCATATAGAAGAGAAGCCGTTAAATAGGCGCCTAGGTGACCTCCAAACCTCTCAGAACAACCGCAACAACCCATGGGCTGCCAAAACGCTCTGAGATTTCTGTTTTGTTTTAGCTCCCATTGATCCACTGCCACAGAAAGCACTGGCCAGTACTCAGTGGTGTATGGCGTAAACTTTGGACAAGCCGGATCGGCTTCCTGGAGCCCCAGTAAACGAAAACTAATGGGAAGGAGTGCAAAAGTGAACCTGGAGAGTTTGTCCTGGTTTGCAATGGCCATGGTATTTAAGGCGTCTGTTGTGCTAGAACGCTTTGACTGAATACGACAGGGTGATCTTGCGGAGCGGAAGACTTTATTGGGCAGGACTTAAGCATCAGGTTGCCGAAAGCGATTGGTAGTCATTGAAGCTACGGGTCGCAGAAGTCCAGGCTGCTACGGTTCTTTCTCGTGAAAAGAAGCACGACAAAGACAGAGAGGCCTGGTACCAATCAACTTAACGGTTTATTCCTATGGACAACTGCCGAAATACCACCCACCCTGGGATGCATAGATGCATGCAACCCGGTTTTATTTTTTTGTAGTAGCAGAGCCTTCCACGCGCAGCGCCCCTTAGACTCTCACGCCCTTGCACTTCTTCACTGGTCGGCCGACTCCTTTTAATAACCTGCCCTTTCTCCCGGAACCAACGCGCCCCACGACATCATATCCACGGATTTATAGCACCAATCCCTCCTAGATCCCTCCCATTCTCTCTTCTTTCTCCCTTCAGCTACATATTTTCCACTTCACTCCCGCCTGCGTCTTACTGCGACCGATCCCAAGTGAGCTATGAAGCCCCCAATCTCACACGTCCTGCTCCTCTGGCAGGCGATCCGCCAGTCCTTCTACTCTGTTCCCAATGTTTTCGTCCCGCCAGCCCTTACCGTGCCCGGCTCTCCACAGCCCCCTACCGCCAACAAACCATTACTCGCACCCACCCCTCCCATGGGCTACAACAACTGGGCCCGCTACGAGTGTAACCTCAACCAACAGCTCTTCACCGACACAGCCAGCTGGATGGTCTCTCACGGTCTCTTGGCTGCCGGTTACGACACCATCACGATCGACGATTGCTGGATGACCATGGAGCGCGATCCTGTCACGAATCAACTTGTCACCAACGAAACATTGTTCCCCCAGGGCATGGCCTGGATGGGCCAGTATCTTCATGCCAAGGGATTCAAGTTCGGGATCTACCAAGACGCAGGCTACAAGACCTGCAGCGGCTACCCAGGCTCGCAGGGCTATTTCGATGTGGACATCGCACAGTTCAGGGGTTGGGAGGTCGATTATATCAAACTGGATGGATGCTATATCAAGAGAAATGAGTCGTTGCCACCAAGTGAGACTCTCGAACCAACATTCCGTTATCTATATGAAGGCTTCGGCAAGGCCATCCAGGCTCAGTCCCGACCCATGGTCTATTCAGAATCCGCACCCGCGTACTTCTCTGGGCTTTCGGCAGGCACAGGAGACAGTGTAGGTAAGGATTGGTACAGGGTCCACACATGGATCGGACAATACGGTCAGCTCTGGCGACACTCAACCGATGTCGCCGTCTACAGGAAGGATGGCAAATCGCGCTGGGCCAGCATCATGGTCAATTATAGGTTTAATATCCGACTGGCCAGATTCCAAAAGCCCGGGAACTGGAACGACCCCGATTTCATCATTACAGGCGACGATGAGGGCCTAACTCTCGAGGAACAAAAGTCTCAGTTCGGGCTCTGGAGTATCATGGCCTCGCCGTTGATCCTAAGCACGGATGTGACCCAGCTGAGTACAGATCAGATCGCCTACCTGACGAACCGGGAGATCATCGACATCAATCAGGATCCATTAGGTATCCAGGGTCGTATGGCTTGGAAAAGCGAATACAGCGACGTGCTGGTGAAGCCCCTCCAGAACAACTCCATCCGTGCAGCAGCCGTCCTCAACCTCCAGCACGTTGCTGCGAACATTACGGTACCCTTCTCAAGACTCGGTTACACTTTTGCGCTCTCCTCTGTCGTGTGCGACTTTCTCGTCCGTGAACTCTTCTCCCGTTCCGAAGAGACCGTCAGGGTCACCAACCCACGCCAGCAATCCATCTCGACGCTACTCAAACCACACGCGACAGCGCTATTCAAGATCATGTCTCTGACAGATCTCCCACCCTGCAGAGCAACCGTCCCCACAGGAGCCATCTACTTGACCTCATCGCTTCTCTGTTTGGATGTCTCCAACGCAGGCACAGCGCCAGGAACTGCGGTACTGGCGTTCTCCTGCACCAGCAACGAGAACCAGCTCTGGCAGACCTCGCCGGTCCCCCCACCATTCACTGACTCGTCTGCACGGATCATCACCAACGGCAAGGCACTGCTGTGGATCAAGACGCTCGACAACCTTTGCTTGGATACCGAACTCGCTAATGCCACTCCTACATTGGGTACCAAGGTAGTGGTCAATCCATGCGACGGAGACAGAGAGACACAGCAGTGGACATACGAACCCATGGAAGGCACGCTGTTCCACGAGAGCACTGGTTTCTGTATCGATGCATCCATGGCTTCGACAGCGAGCGATGAATCTACCATCCCGTTGCGTCTCTGGAAATGTGGTTCACAGGCCGACAACCAGGTGTGGTCCATGCCAGCATAGATAGAGCATCCTTTAGCATTTCTGCACAGTTCTATGCATATCAGTCATTTATTAAAGTAAAGTGCAGACAACTCCCTATTCCTCCGCCCATTTAAGACTGCCCAACCACCAAAACTTCTTCGGTATCCTCCCCGGGCATGGCGACAGCACCGTGATCTTCTTTCTCGTCTCATGAATCTCAGAGACATACACAAACCCTGCCAAGTTTGTCTCCAAAATCTCCGGTTCCTTCATCTTGTCTGCATTCGACACTGCCAGCACCGAGTGCAACAGATGCTCGCCAGGTTCGACCTTCACCACCTGCGTCTCGCTCACCTTCCGATCCTCCCCAATCGGTAGTGCTGACGACGGAGCCAATGACCCCTCGCCCACGCGCAAGATCTCGACATCATGATAATTGATCATCGTCGAATACGGCGCCAGTTCTGACTTTGCAGTCCCGTAAAAGTATTCCCGGATCTTCTGGTTCTGTGTCTGTCGTCTAAAGCCAGAGTCGCGCTCGACCACACCACCGGATTTTGCGAGTTTAATCACAGCGATCCCAGGAGATGTGACTGTAGCAGGCTTTTGGTGAAGCCGCGTCATGTCGCTGTATAGCCTCTCGTGCCCCAAAACAATAATCACGTCCACTATATTGCGCGAGTTCAAGAAAAAAATGTCTCTATGGTGAGTATCAGCGACTTTCTGTTATTGAGGTACTGCAAAAACATGAAGGTGGGAGAACGCACCTGAGAATGCCTTTATGCAGTTCGCAATAACCTCATATCCAGTGGCGTCAATCAACCCATTCGTGTCAATCACAATCCCTGATTTCCGTGCTATTTTCAACCCAATAATGATAAACTTCAACGGGTTAGCGCATGAAAATCAATACAGTTGTCAAGGAAGATGAGAGAAAATGCATAGTTCAAGCACTGTACCTGCTTCGTCCTCTTCAAGTCTCCTGTTTACGGACTGCGCAAGTCGGGCGAGTAACACATTATACAGCTTGGCATTATCCTTGGGTGAAGGGAATCCATAGTAATATGCCAATGGCATCACGGCTGATCCGGCGGTCGGTGCAGATGTTGCTGACGATCCAAAGCCCTCTTCCACATCAATCATCTCCGTCAACGGGGTCGCAGTCAAACACCCTGGCATAGTAATAGATCCCTATTCAGGAGTAATAGATGGTCGTAAATGGCGTTGTTTGATATATAGCCAACCCATCGTCTTTAACTAGGTAGGTATGGGAACGGTTTGGCGTCAGAAGGCTTCATACCTCGCTGCAGTCGAGATCCACGTAAATGGGCTGCCGGTTCTGCCGTAACGCATAGCTGAGAAGTATCTTCGAGAGCGATGTCTTGCCCACATCATTCGGCCCGACAATCAACACCTACAGTTCACGAATACTCTCAGTTTAGCTCTTGATCCGTCCATAAGACATGCACAATCATCAAGACATCGCCTATATAGCATACCCTAGGCCCCTGTCCATTATTTTGGGTTGCAAGGACGCGCCGCTGTTCCAATGCCAGGTGCATGTTCAAATAGCTGATCATTGGCGTCTCGTTCGCTATGTATTCGACGCTGCAGGTGCCGTAGATCTGGAGCTTGCAACCGTGCCATGTAAAGACAGCGATTTTTCGTCCTGAGAACTCATAGTCGACATTCTGACCGAGCTCCGTGCCAAATACCTCGGCTGTCCCTGTTACCAACTAAATCAACCGTTATTTTTGTTTGTCCAAGAGGAGAGAGTAAAGTTAGCTCAAGCTCATGTCAGACAAAAAACGCATGGGCTATTGAATACGTGGAGAAATACGCAAAATGATGTTCTTACACGCAACTTGACCTTGGCATCAAAATCGATCTCGATTCGCAGCTCATTCTCTTCGTCCAGGATCCATTCCTTAGGCTCTGCCTGGGTCATTTCCGAGCGATTCTCTAAAAAGATACAGGTTTTCCGACTGATGCCGATTCAAAAACGCGTGCGACGAGTTGCCTGTGACGTACAGCTGTGTCCTGCTCGTTTCCTAGTCTCTACTGCAATTGTCGGTAGTGACCTGCGGTAGTTGGGTCGGTTGATGGAGGTGAAGTTGATGTTAGTATGCTGATCTTGCGCACTTCTAAGGCTGTGGTCAATTCAGCCACTCTTGCCGCGTCTCGCGGGTGGAGCGCCAAGATTTCATCTCAAATTGGTGGCGCATAAAAGGACCGAACAATAAGGAATTCCATGATCGTATTCAGGACTCGGACTTAATCCCGGAATGACAGACGGACAGGCAGAAGCCTACATTCCATGCAGCCGCCTGCTTCTCGTCAGAGGGCATCCAAACCGTGCTAAAACTCCTAGACTTCATAAGCGAAAACGCGCCTCGTCAACAGCATGTCTTCCAGCTGCTCGCTGTTTATAACTGGATCTTGCCGTGAGCACAGCGTTTCAAGCCTTGCATGCCGCTTCGCTGGAAAGCGCATCTTTTTTTGCCCAGATGCTTGCCGACCAGGGCGGTGATCTGTGGTGGATGGAGGGTCGCGTTAAGACAGGCCGAAGCTCACTCTTGAGGGTAGAGTGCAATAATTCAGAATATGAGAGACTGTGCAGGTGCTGCATCAAGGATACAATGACGCGGACACAGTTCAGGTTTATTGGGAAGAGATTCAGGAGCCAGCGGCAGCCGGTCCGCGACCTTCAAGCTCATCTCTCACAACTATCGTGGATATGGTGACCGACTTTACTCCATGATAATCTCTCCGTAACTTTACTGGAATTTCGCAGCTGCAAGAATCCTCGATACTGTTTCGGCTCGAGGACGTTGAACAGGACTCAACTGCAATGGTGGTTGCGGTAGGCTTGGTGTTCTAAGTGGGTGTTCTGGACATTGAATATAAACAGGACGTGTCGATTGTTAAAATCTAGCTTCTTGTGCACGGAAACGAGCCTGACACTACACTCCACGAGGTCCAGTGTTTTAGGAGGGCATATGTGCCTAGAAGATGCTCTAAGGCTGAGCGATCAAAGGTGGCAACCATAACGCCGAGATTCCTGACCTCAGTCAACGACACGGTCTTCATGGAAGTACCCGGGATCTATGCACAATTTTAAGGTGAATATTGAATTTCTAGGGTGCTGGGTTGTGATGAACCAAGTTTGTAAATTGATCCCAGCCCGATGGAAAACACTAATCAGATTGGTGGAGCTCCTTGAAGCGAGTGAAGGCCCTCAATGAAAGTCCGGAGAGTCGTCTTTTCATGTCGCACATGCAGAGGATCGGGATATGGTGCGCATGCCTGTTGGTGTGATGGATACTGAGCCTTTTCCTGTCCTCAGACTAGTAGATGCTCATTCTTAGAGTGAGAGGCGAGGAGACGGAGAGCAGGTGACGAGCAAGGAACCCCTGTAGGAAGTTTGAAAGCCGGATTGTATGCGCCGCACTTGCTGCATACCCACTTTGATGCACCCCTAGAAAGCCTGCGCCATACACTGACACGGCTCCACATCTAACTCAGGAACGCCTTCTAGCATCGTTGTGATCTTTCACTGTTTTGGATCGTACCTGAAGCCGATAAGGCTGTATGCGATCAACCGGACCCTCTGCTTTGCTACCCGCTATACTTTATCGGAACCTTTCCTTTTAATGGAGAACATGCTAAACTAAAGAATTGCGCTGCGTCCGATCATCTTGACTGCAGAACCTCTCCCATCTCCAATATGAGCCAGATCTCTTGCAGAAAGTGAATATCTTCCACCTCCAGATTCTGGCAGAATCTTCTAAATTCGAGTCTTTGCAGTTATTCCAAGGTATCGAAGAGATCCGATCCGACCTTTAGCTGGGGACCATCGTGGCTGAGTTCAAACGATGGCAGGTAATTCGGCGCTCCAATTTCCAGGGTATTCAGGTTCGCCAGTCGTGCGAGTTGCTCAAAAACCGCTCGATACCGTGCCTGAGGTTTGCTTTCCAGACCACAGATGTAGGCATGGAAAAATATCAAGCTTAAACAACCCCATTTCTGAGGCCTGAATCTCTGTTGATCTCCATCCTCCGCGACCCCGAGAATATGCCGAGCCTCCAATCGACCCGCAGTGAATACTTCCAGTCGACAGCAGAAAACCAAAATTCGCCAGAGCATGGTACTGGTTATGTAGGAGGCGCGTCATAGGGTAAGAGAAGTTAGAAAAGGAAAATGGCGAGCCATCGATTGGAAGGCTTGAGAACCCACTTCGTCGCCCTCAAGTCTGAGAGTTGCCAGCATAGGGCAGTAGGCCTGAACAGTTACCATGTCCTGTTCTCCCAATCTAGGGCATCGAAGCACAACGTCTCTGAGGCGTGGAAAAGTAGTCCTTTTGGTGGGGAAAAGCAGCCGGCCTGGAGATTCTCTCTCCAGGATGTCGAGGTCCCATCCAGTCGCCTTCCGGGAGAGGAGTTCGAGATTCGGATACTTGCGGATGAACAGGGCTTGATGGTTAAAGGTCATGTCCCTGATATTATCTAGTGATAACAGCCTTAGGTTGCTGAAGTCCGGCCACTCGCGCAAGGATCCAAAGCCGATGCAGCAATCTTTGAGCTTCAGCTTTGTGAGAAAAACACAGGTGCCCAGGAGATACATCGATGCCACAGGACCAAAGTACATTGTAGCCATGAAGTCCTTCACCTGACTAGAGGATACGGCGCTCATGAAGTCGCCCGGGACCACAGTGTATCCGTGAAGACTGATATGCAGCTTCCAGAGCGTTGGGTTCCGATTGATGATGCTTCAAATTCCGCGACAAGTATTTTTTCGAGTCGTGTGAAGATCTCAAAGGGAAGTGACCTAAAATAATCATCGAAGCGAAGCTCTCGAGCATGGCTTCCATGAATGGCAATGACATCAGCGCTGGGCCTTCTGATATCCCCGCATCAACCGATAGTATGATAGAGGAGAGGGCTGAGCGGAGACGTGGTCTCTGTGGCCCAAGAATTCACCGACCAACAACATGAGTTCAGGGACATCCAAAGGTGTAGAATGGAAATGATCGACTCAGCGATGATCTAGGAAGGCGAGGCCAGGCGATGAGGCAGATCGATGCTTATTCTTGCGGAGAGAATAGTGCAGATGAGAAAGAGAGAAAGGTAGCCCAACTGGACTCAGGAACTACGAAACTAGGGGCCATTGGTGCAACAGTCATTCAGCTTCAGTCTTTTGCAGTGCCTGCTCCATTCTGTGATATCCATGACTTTCCTTTGGATATTCAACCTGCACAGGTCATGGATAGTGCTCCACTAGTAATGCCTCAACTACAGTGGCAGCCGGAGTAATCAGTAGTAGTACGTGAAGTGTCTTCTATTGTTCTGCAATAGGCGCAGGACAGCACAGTAGATCACAGAGACCACTATCCATGTGTCTGGTCGCTGTTCTAGCTGCAGTTGCAGTTGTCGATAATGTGTAGATGGAGCGTTCTGGTGCTTGTGCGTGGAAAAGGAACCAAGAGATGGAAAGGATGGCGACGAGAAACGTACGTAATATGGACAAGGATGTGAGGCATCATCAACGGCTCCACGCATATCATGCAGCGGCTTGTTGCAGTTTGTCAATTGGGTATCCACGGCAGCGCATCGAGACGCGTCGCTGCGCGTTTAGTCTTGGAGGGATCCCCACCGGGGCTTGGTCCTGTCACTCCTGTGGGGGACGGTTCCTGTTCGGCTAACGGTGTGTTCGGCCAAAGAAGCCGAAGCGAGTTTGCTGGAGGACGACAGCCATTTCTGGTTTTCGATCTGCGCAAGGATGCCATGCACATACAGCATGTGTGCCACGCAGCGGCAAGAGCAGCGCCCAGACTGCATGTAGTCGAACGATGTGTTGTGTCGCATTGGATGCTATGGGAAATGGTATGGGGCACTCAGTGGAAGATCGGATCCGATTGCACACGTTCGCACAAAAGGGCTCTCTCCACGAAAAAGAAGGTGCCGGACTTCCTTCTTTGCTTCTTCATCGCTTCACACACTCGCTCACTCGCTCATCAACCACCAACCACCAACCATGGCCGAGACCAAGATCTACAGTAGCGCCGACCTAGCCAAGCACAACACCAAGGACAGCCTCTTCCTGGCCATCCACGGAAAAGTCTACGACTGCTCCGGATTCATCGACGAGGCAGGTTACTCATCTTTTTTCCCAGGTTCCAACATCTCCGAGAATTTATTTCTCGGCTCGGAGTCATATTTATGTGCTTGCACTTGGTCCGTGTCGTGTCTTCCCCTTACTCCGAGGCTGTAACGTTCTCTACCTGGTGTACATGGCGCCCTGCTGGAGAGCGCAAAGGACCCTACCGACATACACTCCCATGGAGAGGGAGACACTAAAACGGAATCGGTTGGCTAAGGACTTACTGATCAATACAAACAAAACAGATACAGCTAACACACCGTTGCTGTTGTTATTAAATGTGTATTCCTCCAAATAGCACCCCGGTGGAGAGGAGGTCTTGCTGGATGAGGCCGGCCGCGACGCATCCGAGTCCTTTGAGGATGTTGGACACTCGGACGAGGCCCGCGATATCATGTCGAAGCTCTATGTTGGAGAGTACAAGACCGATGTAAGTCGTCGTAGTAGGGGGCGTCTGTCTGTCTGGCTACTCTTCCCCCATGAGTTTGTTCGCGCTGTTTTCTTGCCAAGAATGAACCCATACAGACCGTTTCCGTTTTGACAACGGTGCCTTTGCTTCATTCTTTGTTTCACGGTTCCCCATGGGATGTTATTTATGTTATTTTGTTGCTGTTCACTTAAGCAAACACGCTGTTGAAGAACCCTTTTTTTAACATGTGAACCTTTCTTAATCCACATTAACACTCCTGTCCTACACAACAGGGTACCGAGAAGACCAAGCCAAAGACCTATGCAAGCACCCCCAAGCCCATCCCCGCTGCCGAGCCCTCTGGAGACTCTGGAAGGTATTTAACAACCACCTCACCCCCACCCCACCAGGAAAGCCACAGTGAAGACGATGCGGACACTGGGTACTCCACCCTCATGTTCGCTTGAACCATCTTATCCGAGACGAGTTGGTATTGACCGGCCGTGCATACGCCCTGTATCAACGCTTTTGTTTAAGGGAATCAAACGAGTTGCATTGCATACACATGGGGGTCACAACGGAACGAGAACATTGAGACATCCTTGTTACTATCGTAGACAGGATGCACAAACAGGTTTTCTTGCAGAAAGAGAATGATACTAACCCTCATTCTTTTCTCCTTGTCTTTTGTCTTTTTGTGGCATTACCAGCCTCCAATATGCTCTTGCATTGGCTGTAGTCGCAGGATGTGTCATCTGGAAGGTCTTGCTGTGAAAATAAAATCAAAAAAGAGAGACCGCGTCTTTTTGTTCTATACATACACATATACCAGTCGCTTTGTGCTCCTTCAACCATCACAATATATACAACTGCAATAGTCTATCTTCATAGCAACAAGAATAAATGAAGAATGTAATCTGGCTGGCTGACTTCACGGCTGATTTCCATAACGTGGCGAAGGGCTGAAGGAAAAAGGATATGGTACAAGTTTTATTCTATGTTGTAAAAACGATACCTCTGCGCCCTGAGATGATTCCTCTAGAAAGGTGAGATTACTGTATTACAACCAATTCCTCCATGCCCCCCAAAAAGCTGTTCTCCCAAACCAATGTCGCGACAGCTCGTGCCTACTCTCTGAGGCTGCAACAAAAGGTCGTTCTTGCATCGTATTAAGAAGGTTCCGGAAGATAGGACTGAGATTAAGAGGCTGATTACTGAGATGAGTTACCGAGAGAAGCATTCGGATTGGTGGTGATATTGATATTGGCGATGATGTTGAGTCCTGCTGGTGTATTGTAGCTGCGCAGGCTATATCGTGCCTTCTGTGTGTTGTGGCGAAGCGTCGGCGTTGTTATTGGTGTTGGGTGTTGTCGTGGGTCAAGGACCCGGATTCTCATGCGCCCTGCCACAGCTTAGATTCATCCTCAATGATCACAGAAAAGCGTTCCTCCTATTCACACCCAAACATACATGCGATCATCAGCAAGGCTTTATAAGAAGCTGGATTAAGACAACAAGAGCAATGAGCTGTGTAATTCGTACCTTCTTTCTGATCTTAAGTGCCTCCAGCATGTAAACGGTTCCGACAACGAGGCTGACGGCGACAGCAGCGCGCTTGCTTGACTTCCGGACAAAAGGGCGCATTGTTTTCATGCGATCGGGAACAGAATAGAGCAAAGTAGAGTGGAGCAGGATAGGGCGAAGTTGGGTTGCAGATGGATGGATAACAAGGGGGTGCGGAGACAAAGAAAGGGTTGATGCCGGTCCGAAAAGCAGCTCCGCCACCCTCTTCCGCGCGCACAGCCATCGAACCGCTGACAAACCCTTTTTAGGGGGTTTTTTATATGGAGGTCAGTGGGTTGAAGACACATAGCTTGCACGATATGAAGACGTGAACGCTGTATTGTTTCGATAGGCCATTGTCCAATTCTGTCAACCTTTTTGTCTTTTATCTATTGTCCTGGTCTTATCAAGCCAGAGAGAGCTTTAATGGCGCACAAGACAACCTAGGCGCAGGTCTATATACAACTGACGAAACGCATCTCGCCTTGATATCGATAAAAAGAGCGGCCTTGTTTGCAGCTTTAGTCGATCTCCAGATGGCGAGCACCCGCTGGGGAGGTTACGCTCTGTGCCTCGGGGCCATCCTGCTGCAAATGAGGCTTCAATCCCTTTCCAAAATTGCGGTAGCAGAAAGCAGCGTTGGCGATTGTCAGCAGAATCGTAATTAAGCACAGCGATGCTAAAACAAACGAAACAGCAATAGCACGTCGGATCGTTAGAATAAAACAATAGAGGACAGAGAGCAAAAGTGCATGAGCTGAATTCAGATAAAGAAACTGTGCGTCTTACCGAAAAGGGTCAGGAACTTGAAGACACCCCTGTAATTCTCGACCTTGGGTCCGATATACATTCTGACGACCTTAAAGATAAAGTAAACGACTCCACACAGCATCGCCAGCAGGAACGTCGCCATCCACTTGCGGCTCTCGTGTCGGACCGCATACACCGCAATGTACAGAATCAGGATCGTCACAGGCAGCACAATGATCGTCAACCAGTATTCGGGGTCCTGACCGCGCTTTATCAGGGTCAAATAGATGAACTGGATTGAAAATCCCACAAAGAAGAACAGGTCGACCTTGATCAGCACCAGGTAGATCTGGTACGCGCGGTACATTTCTATACACAACAAAAAAAAAAAAACGTAAAGTCAGCTATTTCATTGCATACGATCATGCCATGGTAACAGCTATCATTAAATAGTGCGCTTGCTTACTCTTTGTGTTGGGATCGGCTCCGATCTTTTTGTAAATCTTCCATCCAAACTCCTGGAAGAGCCGGTAGGCCAACCAAGTGACGAGAAACTGTGTGATGCCAATGATACAGACGACGATGATCAAGAATGGCTGAATAGAGTCTTGTAGCTTCTGGGCCTTGTCCTGTGGAACAAAGAAGCCCTCGTTTCCCGAGTCCCAGAGCGAGTTGCGGATCTGGGAGATCTCAAAGATCGAGTAGGCGAAGCAGCATAAATTGAATATTACAATCCCAATCAACTCGATCGTATTCTGTGCCCGCACCTATTACAAAAAAAAAACGAGTGAGAATAACAAAAGAGGTAGGTATTGCTACGCGTAGAACACACTTTCTGTACTTCGGTATCTATCCATCCAGTCATTCATGCCAGTATTAAGCGTTTCGCCCACCTGGCCTTTTTCAGGCTCTACCCACACACCCCTTCTTTGGGGCGTGTTTTAAACACAAACACTGAACGAGACAAAATATGAACGGGGCAATCGTTACAAGTATTTGTAACAGAGCAAAATGAAGACTTACTGCGTCCCAGGCAAAGACGAGTTGGAAAAGCTGTGCAAAGACGAAGACAATGAGGTACGCAGGAATAGAGCGCGACTGGTTCCTCGTGTCCAGATAAGGTGGCATAGTTATGTTGGCATATAATCCTGACGTCGGTGGCGGCAATGGCGTGTCGACCAGGCTGTGGAAGTACAGACCGACAATGATAGCCTGCATAATAATCACGAGCAATGCCTCGACTGCAATTACCAAGACCATTGATTTGCCGTAGGTCGAGGACGGGAACTTGAACAGCTGTTTGATACGCGAGATGAAGGGGCCATGGTCGTCAGGGTCCGGCGACGAAGGTCGGGAGGAGGGCTGAGGTGGATAGCAGTAAGAAGGCGGTGCTTTAGGTTTACTCTCGGCATTAGTGGGGTCTTGCTCCCCAGGAGAGTGTACGTTGGCTGAGGCTACAGCTGGGGGACTCTTGGTGTTCGGTGAGGATATGGGTCGTAATTGCGGTGTTGGGAGTCTTGCTGTAGGGGTTGTCTGAGAGAGTTCTCGGCTACGGCGTGCTGCTGATGCTGCTTTTGTGGCTGCAGCTGTGGATACTGTTGGTGGGTCGGCTGTCGCTTGAGACCCGAGGAGGTATTATTGCCAGTATTAGAATTATAATAGTTGTTATTGCTATTGCTGTTATGATAACTGGAGGCAGGAGAAGCGTAACTGTATTGGTGGTCGTTGATAGGATTGAGATTAATGTTGTTGTTGTATACAGTAGGGGTGGATGATGATGAGGGGTATCTTGGGGTGGTGGAAATGGCAGTGTTGGTATGGTTGTCATAAGCAAAGGGAGGGTCGTAACTGTATTCTTGCTTCTGGTGTTGCTGTGAGTAGTACTCCTGTTTGTAGTCCGGGTAGGAGTTGCCGGTGTGTCCAGGTCGTGGGGAGATGGCTGGACCAGGCATTAGGGACACTTGCTGTGAAGAGGCAGTATATGAGAGGGGTTAAGAGAAAGTTAGATTAAGAGTGAGAGATATTTAAGAGTGTGGGATTTAAGAGCGAGACATGGCGCGCGAGTGGAGAGAGGGAGAAAGTATGCGCGAGAGAGAGTGTGCGAGAGAAAAAGGACGCACGAAGGAGGAAAGTGAGGATGTAGGAGGGAATGGGAGAATGGGATGCGGATGAATAGATGGAGATAGGGGAAGAAGGATGAGGCAGAGAAAACAGGGCGTCGTGGAAATCCTCGCTACTTCTCATTTTCAGGAACGTTTTTTTTTGTTTGTTTGGACGGTTGAAAGTGCATCAAATCGCACTAGTCTAGTTTACAGCAGACAAACAATAACCTACAGCAGACAAACAATAACCGACAGCAAACACAAACAACAAAAGCCCATCGCATCGCATCGCATCATATCACACGCCAACGAAAACTACACCGTCCCGACAATAATGCGATACGAAGAAGGTAGAGCAGCAAGTAGTACTTACAGAGTGCTGACTTGAGCTGTCCGCCATTTGCTGCTGTGTTTATGTGCTATACAATTGTTCAGTTGGGAGCAGTAGACAAATTCGATAGGGTAGCAGTAGTTGTTAGGATGAAGAAAGAGGAACGAAGAGGGATAACAGTGCGTTTCAGGGCAGGGCCAGAAGGAGCGAAGGAGAGTATATGTAGTGGGTAACACTAGCGTGAGCCGGTGGCAAAAGATTCGCGGGTCAATAAAAGTTGAGATGTGACACGGAGCATGTAGACATATGCCGATGCCGATGCCAATGCCAACGTTGAGGATGATAATGGGGGGTGTGGATGAAGGTGGTGAGGTTGGGAGTGGTGTTGAAAGGCAGGAAGGGAAAAAAGAAGTGAGGATAATAATAGGGAGGACGAAGGGGGAAGCGTAGTGGCAGTCAGTGGTCGCAGTGGGCTGTGCTACTGCTCTCAGTAAAAAAAAAAAACGCATCTTCACTTTGAACTAAAGAACGGATGAAAGAAAAAAAGAAAGAAACGGGCTACGCGCCTAATTGTCGTTTATTATCCATATACAGCTCTGCTGCATCTTCGTTCAGTCGATCGTGGGCCTTATTAATAAATAGCAGTTGGCGCTAATTGGAATGATGACGATGAATATGACGACCCACAATGGCCCTAAGACAAGGCTGATAAGGGAAATGAAGGGGATCGGGGTCAATAGGCTCAGATTCATGCCAATGTTCGATCGATTTTTTGAATATCCACGGAGACAAACCTTTCATTCCCCCGAGGAAATATAAAACGCATGCAGCTGTACAGCGCTTGCTAGGACTAAATACATTCCGCCTTATTCAATCTTTTCCCAGGGTGCTGAGGACTCTATCTGTAACGGATACGCATCGTCTCTTGAACCAATTGCTCGGTTTCATGCTAATTATCTGAGCCTTTATAAAGCGATATTTCCTTTACAGAATGGGAGGTTTTCATGTTTCGATATCCGTCGCTGCACCGACAACAGCCTTCTCAATCATTACATTAATAAATACTGTACATCCATTTGTACAGTGCAATCCCAGCAACTACAAATCCTCATGACTTCCAAAGAACCCTCACATGTGACGATGACCGACGAGTAGCGCATTGCTCTTTACCGTAAAAAGAACGAGGACCCGAGTACGAATATTGATCAGCTTAATTCATGACTGGAGAAGAAACACAGTACCAAGATAGCCAGGTCAAGAATATTCAAGACACTAAAGCGGTCTATAGAACTACTCTAAACACTGATCAACGCAAGAAGGACGCCAAGCGGCACAAAGCGGTAGAGTTCCTGACGGTGGAAGATGCCTTAAAGGATCGGTTCGAGCTTTATCAGGGCCAGGTCCAGATGAATGGGCGCCTAATCCAAGCTAAAGGAAAGGGTTTCCTCAAGGATCTCTACGGCGAAGAAGTGAGTTTCGAGTTTTCCGAAGGCTGGTTAACGTTGTTCAAGAAGCGCCATGGCATCCAAGGATATCGAACAGTCAGAGAGAGCGGATCTATGAACATGCAAACCCTTGAAGGGCTGTTGTCCGGATTGCACTCATGGCTTGACAGATACCCATGGAAGGACATCTACAATGTGGGTGATACCGGTCTCTTCTATCGAATGTAGGTAAGGTTGGCCAGTTTATGCCAAGAAGGCATCGAGGTGTTTAGGCAGCAATGTAACAATAATCCTTTCTTAGGCCCAATAGAGCCTTAGCGACAAAGAACTTGGGGACAGATAGCAGGACAAAGAGCACTTAACAATTGCTAACTGTTCGAACGGTGATGGATCCGATAAAGTGCCGCTATGGATCATCAGCAAGTTCCAGAAGCCGCGTTGTTTCAAGGACGTTCAGCTCAGTAACTTGGGAATGACCTACCGTTGAAATACCAGGGCATGGATGACGCTGAAGATATTCAACGACTGGCTCAAGTGATTTGATGGCAGAGTGAATCGCAGAGTGCTGTTAATATTGGACAATTGCAGCGCACATGTAAAACAGTCAAATCTCCCACAGCGATCGAACACAGAGGCTCTCTACTTGCCGCCCAACGTGACCTCCAAGATCCAGTCCATGGATGTTGGTATCATCAGGTCATTTAAAGCGCGATATAAGTTTCATTTTTCTGAGCAACCTTGAGAATGGTATCGCAAACCCTGCAAGGCCCAACGTCTTCATAGAAATCAGAATAGTAGTGCAAGCTCGGGATGAGGTGAAAGACACAAATATCGCCAACTGCTTCAAAAAATGTAAAATATGCACACCAAGCGACAGCGACACACCAAACAGCTATGTCGATGGCGAGAATGTTATCAACGAACTCAATGCCACTCTTCAACGGATGCCGTACCAGGACCCTATGTCAGTAACGTTCCTATTAAACCATCCAGATGAACAGGGGGCGCCATACATCCTAACGGACGAGGATATTGTGGATGAGATAAGACAGCCTGTCAGTGAGTCATTGGGCCATTGCTGTGGCGTGCGGGACCCTAAAACGCGATCATCACTCCCTTTCTTTATTCCAGAATTGTATGGAAATGCATTGCAATGAATCCCAAAAGAAGGTTACCTTGGGGCATGCAAACAATATCTGATACTTTCAGATTCTCACCAAGCTCGTTGATTCCCCTTGTGGACCTTGAGAAAACTTCAGAAGTTCCTGATCGTGCAAATCTGGAGTTCGTTGATTTGTAGATATCACTCAAGAGTACGGAGCCTTGAACGCCATGGCGGCAAAAATTTGGCAGTTCGAACGACTTTAATTAAATGTTTGTTTTCTCGAGTCCCTTTCGCATGACAACTATGTCTTAAAACCTCACACTTTGAACCCTTGGCCTACGTTCAGCATTCATTCTATGACATTTACCTCCAGGCTATATCCAGAACACACGTCTGGAGCGCCAAGTCATGCCACTCTATAAGTGTGTCGATGTCGAATGCCTTCTCTGGCTCAACTTCATTTAAGTGCAAGGTGCGACCAGACCACAGGATCCCTCGAGTCAAGATCAGGATGGAATGTTTCGAATTCGCTGCAAGGCATTTGATAATCTGAAAATCGCAGCCCTCCGAGATAATAGCAGGATTTCACCACCATCAAAATCACTGGAACGCTGTTCGAATCCACTAAATCGCTCACGCATACATAGTCCCATCCTCTGTACCACGCTCGATTGGTATGCTCTGCCAGTGTTAGCCATCACCAGCATCGCTAGTAGATACGGGACTTTTGCGCTCGAGCCTCTGCAACCCAAGTTCGTCCAAGCTTTCTTGCTAGTCCGTTTCGGACACCCCTACCCTCCTTTGGAATCATATTGTACTACAAGCGTTCCCTCTTCTGCCCCTGTCCGCTCCACGAGTCTCGCAAGCGTCAACAAGGTAACGATCATGATCCTGTAGTGATCGGATGCGGAGGACCAAGAACAGCGCCCCTCGATGGCCGCTGGTCTAAGCACATGAGTCGAAGGAAAGTCCCTTTCGACATAGCTGACCCTTAACCCGAGTGTGTTGTTGCATCCCTATTCTTCTAAACAGTGATTCTCACCGGTGAATTGTAGTGCACTTTTCGCAGTTCACCGGTATTATCACCGGTGAAAAAATCATAAAAGTTGTTCACCGTGGTTAACCGTTCACCGGTGAGAATCACTACTTCTAAATAGTATCTCCTCTGATTTTTGAAGGGACAAGGCTCTTCCTTGAAACCTCGATCCGAGAGATCTCTCGTAAGTGTGCTTACATCTGAGGTTCTTAAGCGTTTTCATCTGCAGTTCTTCAACTTACTTCTATTCAATGTTCTTATGTAGTCAACGTGCCCAGACTAAGGCTCCAGGCCCGAGTTATACTCGCCCTCGCTACCAATAGGTAGGCTCGTTCCCAGCCTGAGGACGAGATCATGTGCAGGGCAAGCCCGTTACCATAAATGGAAACTCTGCGCAATTTCAGGCTGTCGAGCCTAATCAATAGGTACGCGTCGTGTTACCTTATGTTAATAAAAAAAAAAAAAAAAAGTACGCGTCGTGTTACCGTAAGCCTATTTTTGTTAGAGTTTCGCTGGCACGTAGAAGCTTTATTGAGCAACATATTCACAACTGGTAGTCTATTCACGAAATAGAGGGGTCTCTGCGATCCGAAGGCAGATTGGAGCTCCTCCATAGCTTGTAATGGTCGCAGACATTTCGATTGACTTTTCTGCGATAAGACATGATCGTAGAAGAGATCTAGTGGCTGCTGGAGCATTGGTCCGTGCTGGAATGTCTTTTGGATCAATTTCATGAGGATAAAGAGCACATGTTAAGACTGAATGAGCTGAGAGTCAAGGAATATTAGGTTGGACATGTACGACTATCGGAGTGTATGGTTAGCACCATCCATGATGGTGATAAAGCTAGGCAGCGAAAGAGCGGCGAACCAGGGAGAACGAAGAAGGGAATAGGAAGACTGTCTACGAGGGAGAAGAAAGAGTAGACGGCCAGGAAAACATAGAAAGGGAAACCATACTCAAGGAACTTTGGGTACGATGGATATCTACCTAGGACTCGTCCCAAAGTTCTTGACGACGGATTTGGCGCTACCTCTGAAAACGTCGAAGGGTATCGCGGATTGCGGTGTAAAGCAACGGTGGCATGGAGAAGTCTGAAGACATATGCCCGAAAAAGAAGGCCAGGAGGCGTGTTGGAGGTGTGGCCCAGGGCTTTGTGCGACAGCGACCTCAGGAGGATTTGACCACGGCAGCGAGGAAGAGAGCGGATGCCCGTCCAGTGGAACACCTTCAGGGCAAGGACGAGATGGAGGAGGATAAAATTCGATAGTTTGTCCAGTCCAAGCCACGGCTTGGACAATGCAGCCTTTGGTACAGTCACTACACCTCGCCCCGTCTGACAGTGTGAGATCATTATTTCCTCTCCGAGTGCGCACTAATTCCACCCGGAGCTTTGACCAGTGGTGGGAATTATCGCGCCCATTGTCCTGGATCCGGAGAGAGAATCTGGCGTCATTAAAAATAATAATCGATCGTTGACCGCAGGAACCGCGATGTCGACTGTCAAGATCAATCTCAAGAACGCTAGGGAGGCCATCGCGAACAAGAGCTATGATGATGCCCTGATGTGGACCCGAAAGGTCCTTGATGCCGACTCGGAGAACTATATGGGGTAAAGATCAATCAAGGCGCCTTTCAATGGTGGTATCAATTACTTGTTGTTTCGTGTGTAGATAGATCTGACATAATTCCATTTGCCCACTGCCACTGATGCCCATGCAGTCTAGTGCTTTCAGGATTGGCGTATCAGAACCAGGGTCAAGCGGCCAAAGGAGAAGAGCGCTTTAGAAAAGCAATTGCAGTTAGCCCCGAGCTTCCTCTGGCGCGCGAGGTATGTGGACAGCATCCAGCATCAATATCGGTGCTTCGCTATCATAATCTAAGGTTACTGTTGATAACACTTATGATACGTGTCGATTGTGGAATTAGGGTCTGATCAACTTTTACGATAAACTAAAGAAGTGGCCTGAGCTCGCCGCAGCACTGGAGGAGATGCTCCAGATCCACCTAAAAAGGTATAGACAATTTCGCTTCTTGGAAATGTATCATATGGCGAGCTTACGGATCAAACCGCATTTTCATTCTTGTTATGAAATAGTGCGGATGGAAAGAAGGCCATGTCGGTAACAGAGCGGTTGATTGATCTTTATACCACTGAGGGCGAAATGAACAAGGCAATTGAGAAGATTAAAACGCTCCTGCCCGGATCGATGCTCTACGATTTATTGGGTGATAAGCCAAGCCGTATGGAAACCCTCAAAACTCTGGCATCGATTCAAGAAAAGATGGATGCCCAGTTCTACGAACGCGAGGTTAGACTGCGCCGAGGACGTCTTGGAGGCGGAACTCAGGAGCAGGTTCAGAATGCAGTGAAAAATGAGCTCTACAACAAGTCTGAGGTAAAAAAAAGCATCCATATCGTATTTAGAATATGAAGTCTCCTACCATTTACGACTACAGTGCTAACTGTAGAATTTGTCCCGCTCATATATTGGGATAGCTTGGCACTACATACGAGTCAATCTTGGAGCTCGACCCAGAGAATAGGGCGGATCTGCAGTTGAAGCTACTTCAGTTTTATATCAAGAAAATCGAAGCCATCACATTTGATCAGAAGACAGTAATCCGTGAAAAAGCGTTGGCGTTGGCGTCCGACATGATCAAGGGCAACTGCGCTTCACCATTGCCATACGAACTGCTTCTAAAATTCACCGATGCAGCCATGCCTTCCGACTATGATGCGTACCTTCAGGAGCTGTACTTCACAAAGTTCCCCAACACCGGATTGTCCAATATAATTCAAGCACAACTGCATTTCGCGAACGGAGAAGCGAGGGAAGATCTAGTGGAGATTCTGGAGGAGGGCTTCAAGTTGGAACCAGACCTCGCGTATGGTTACCTCGTCATATGCTGGATGGACTATTCAGTTCAGGATTATGAAGCTGGTCTGGAGCATGCCACGGCAGGACGAAATATCCTCCAGAGGCTTGCTGCCGCCACGGCATTTCCATTCGACAAAATGCGCCGATCCTTCGAGCTCTGTATGGCTTGCTGTCAGCTCAAAATCAGCCCAAAGCTGGCAGGCAGTGCCCTCGCTCTTTATGAAGGAATCCTTGATGCGGACGAAAATAATATTGAGGCCCGTCAGGTGAATATCCATACCTCAATTAGTTTATGGTGTTATATTGCGCTCGCACCATTTTTCGAGTCTAACGTCATATTTTTCTGTCTGTCCGCTCAACCTAGGGTGTTGGATTCGTCCGATGCATAGAAGGAAAATATGCAGAGGCAACGAAATCCTTTGAAAATGTTCTCCTACTGGACCCTGATAATATCTCTGCTCGGTCTGAGCTAGGATGGATCTGCTACGTTCGAGGGGAGTTCGAGCAAGCGGAAGAATGGCTTCGGGAAGTTATCGAAATGTCAAAAGAGCCCCGCGCGCTGGACCTCTATCGTTTGGGAAGAATCTATTATGACATGGGTGGGGAGTACCGCGAAAACTCGGATTATTGTCATGCACAACTTATTGCTGCCGCCAAACTGGACCCGCATTGTGCTGGAGCCTTTACATATCTGGGACACTATTATCGTGAGGTTGCTCAGGATGACCCTCGTGCTGAAAAATGCTACCAACATGCGTTCTCCTTGGACCCTCGCGAAGGGGATGCTGGACGTTTCCTGAGTGATTACCTGTTGAAAGGCGACAGCTTGGAGGGCGCGATCGATGTGTACGAAAAGGTGATTGCAGCGGACGGCAAGGCCAACTGGGCCCTGAACAGACTGGGATTCGCGGAACTGATGCGTGGCAACAATATCGAGGCTATGGGATCCTTCCAGAAGCTGCTGCGAAATGACATTAAGAACGCACTGGCATGGGAAGGTGTTGCAGAAGCGTATCAACATGAGGGAAGGTACATGGCAGCATTGAAGGCATTCACCAGGAATAGAGAGCTAGTTCCAGAGTCGACTACGGCGCAATACCATATTGCGCGAGTGCATCAACGACTTGGCATGTATTCAGAGGCGATCGAGCAGTACCGGTCGACATTACAGCTGGCGGAACAAAATCAAGAGTCCCAACACATTCCATCGCTGATGGGTATAGCAGAGAGTTGTTTAGAGCAGGCCAAAGAGTTCTTTGTCTCCGGATACTATGGCCGATCTGCAGAGTCCTGCGGGCATGCGCTGCAGTGTGCGTCTCAGCTTCTCCAAATGGACCCCAACATTATATCTGCATGGAAGTTGGTCGGCGATGCTTGTCTTGCATACCGTGCAGTCCCTCGATACCTGTATCTCTGTCCTCTGAACATTCTGTCCGCCATCGTCAACATGATGCCTTCCGATACGAATGCGCTCCTTCACTTTCCATCAGGCACGGACGAAGGGGTACTGGAGATTCTAAAGACCATGACATCTACCGACCTTGTGAACGCGACATCAGAGGAGATCTCACAAGCACTGGATGCGATTTATACAGTTGCAGGTCTCGCGTACAAGAGGGCGAATATTTTGAACGGAAACGAGGGGCATCTGGCTGCTCATTTCTGGTACGATATTGCTCTGACGTACTATTACCGACACGAAAACGCTGCGAAGGAGCACCGCACAGCTACGATAACACGACATAAAGGACAATGGCTCGGAGTCACCATGCGTTGCCTGAAGGCGTCGCTACAGTTTGAAGAAGAAAGTCCAATTGTTTGGAATGCGCTTGGTGTTGCAACTCTGTCGACGAATGCCAAGATCAGCCAGCATGCGTTCATCAAGGCTATTGAATACGACCCCAAGGTATCATCTTTGAATACGGTTTATCCATGGCTCGAGCATTGTTCCTGGGTAATGATACGCTAATCAGTTCTTGAAAACTTTGGGATAGAATGCGGCGCCGTGGTCCAACCTTGGCTTCCTGTATTTGCTCAACTTCGACCTAGATCTTGCGCTCAAGGCGTTCACGACTGCTCAAACCTTGGATCCTTCCTTTGCACAGGCATGGACAGGGCAGGCCTGTGTCGCCAGTCTTTGGGGAAGCCACGAATCGACAGCATTGTTTGCACATGCGTGTGAATCCAGCACGGCTTCTGTCTTGGAAGCCGACTACGGCTACGCGATTAACACCTTTACGAGCATGGTGGACAATTTCCACATGGCTAGCCCAGGAGCCCATGCTGCCAACGCCAAACGCGGTCCTTCTTCAAATGCAACAACATTTTTGGTTACGCCAGCCTTTGCACTTTCAAAGTATCTGGAGCAGCGGCCTCGAGATGCTGCGGGCTGGAATTTGTTGGGTCTGATGCGCGAGCGGTTCTTGCAGCACGAAGGAGCAGCAGAGTGCTTTTTGACGGCGATCCGGATCTTGAACGAAGAGGAAGGCCATGAGATTATCGATGACGGATCTAGGAGGCGTAGGATGATGTTGCATCACAACCTGGCACGCGCGCTACTTTGTATGCAGGATTATACTGGTGCAGTGGAGGCATATGAGATCTCGCTGGAGCTGGAGGGGCAGGAAGTAACGCCGAATGAGGTCAGAACATGCAAGCACTTGGGAGCAGGATTGGCACTGTATTATGCGGGCGATCTTGAGCGCAGCCTGGGGATGTTTGAGATCGCACTTGCGGAGACCGAGCAAGTTGAGGGCATGGAAAAGTCCCGGGACGATGTTGTAGTCCTGCTGAGCCAGGTCCTTTGGGCCCTTGGGGGCGAGGAACAGCGGGCGGTCGCGAAGGAGGAGTTGTTTCGGTGCATTGCTCAATCTCCAACACATCTGCCTGCGATTTTTGGATTGGGAGCCATGGGACTTGTGCAGGATGATGAGACACTCGCTACGGCAGCGTTGAAGGAGATCCTCAAGTTTTCGCGACAGGAATTGGCAGAGATGGATCCGGAGCTGAGGTCAGACCAGATGATCAGCCAGTATTATTCGCTTCTGAGCGAGTCGAAGCTTTCTATTGCAGCACTCTCTAAGTCTGTGCACCAGGCCCCAGCCGACGCAGCGCTGTGGGGTCGATTGTCAGAACACCTATCAAGGACGACTGCGGACACGGGCATGAGTTCGTATGCAGTCGCCCAGGTGAATGCAAAGGCAGGTTTGGACCTACTACATGGAAGGGAAAGTCTGCAGGCAGTTGATCTGATGCAAGGATATGTGCAGGTAGCAGGGACGATGCTACTGGCGAACACAGAACGACAGCAGAAGGTAGCCGGGTGGAAGAACGTGAAGAAGGAAAAGATTGAAGAGGAACTGAGGCAGAGTGTGGCTAAAGTGAAAGGCGCGGCGGTGATGGCACAGAGGGGTGTGATGGCTGCACCCTGGAGGCAGAAGGCATGGCAAACCCTGGGGGCCGCAATAGAGGAGTTGGTGCAGCTGTAAGCATACAAGGGTGCAGAAACCCATTAAAGCACCACTGTGGCCATGGAAGTGTCATTCCACAAGTAACCGCATATAACAGAAAAGAAAAAAAAGTTTCATTCAGATGCCATGAAAGGGAGGACACTGTTTTCTTCCTTCCCTCTTCTTGTTGCCACCATTGACCATTGACCATTGACCAACAACCGCCGACCAACAACCATCGATCATCGCTCTCAACCTTCAACCCTCTACCTCCAATTATTGGCCGTTAAACCATTCCTCAAAACAACCTACGTCGGATATCGATTCATTTGACATTCACATGTCGCAACGTACAGACGACGGACAGGACTGGGCTGCTGACACTACTGTTGCTGCTACCTCGGATAGTAGCGATACCGAGGACCCTGCCATCATTACTCACCGGTCACGTCGTCGACGCTCCCGTCCAGCCTCGACCCAGTTCTCCACACCAGCGTCCACCACAGCATCCACGGCCCCGTCCTCGGTAGCAACTTCACCTGCCTCGACCTTGCGGACAAGCATCGGCACAGACACCGAGCACACGAATCTCTCACTAATACCGCATCCCTCAGCAGAGACTGTGCCAGATATATCCGTTACAAGTATTCGCCAAGATCTCCTGTCGTCGATCCGTGCCAGCGCTAATGCTTCGCCTTCTGCCGTTGCTGCTGCCTCTGTAATGGCTGCGGTCACGCCTCTCTGGCCGAGCGCCTCAGATCGTGAGCACACCTCCCTCAGCATCGTTCCGTCTACTCTTCACTATCCACAACTATCTGTGCGCAGGACCCAGCAGAGGACGACACCCCAGACACTCAACCGACATGCCCACCTTCCTCTTCCGGAGCGTGAAGACTCGAGTCGTCCGCAGCGGGCTATCACCTTTGGTACGCTCAAGAAGGCATCCATGGCCAATCGCAACCTTGCGTCGTCATTCACCAAAAAGTCAAAGATGGTCACCCTGCCCTCATACTTTCGTCATACAACCTTCAAGCAGCACTTCGAGCCAGAGGGCGTCGTGGCCTCTGATCAGAATACAGAGACATCGCATCCAGAGAGAGAGACCTCAAAGCGAAGACGTCTGCTTGTCGATAGCAGTCGACGGCGACACATACATTCCTATCAGGACAGTGATAGCAGCAGCACTAGCAGTGGAGAAAGCAGCAGTAGCAGCAGCAGCAGCAGTGGGAGCGAATCTGGGGGCAGTTTGAACGAGAATGGAAATGGTTCCATTATTCCGAAACCACAACGACGTCCATTACGGTATCAGCTCCCATCACGATGGAGTACTATTGACAAGACGGAAAAAACTGAGCTTTCTGAGGACGACCTGCAGGTTCATTACATTGGTACATGTCACTTCTTCTTATTTTCTTTTTTCTGCAGGTATTTTGAGGCTAGCCGTTTGACATGTTTTGGCAACGCTTTTCAGGCCCTGGCAGATTAGACAGCGATGCTTCTGCGGTCCGTGCAAACCGTCCTATCCCACCGCAGTGTGGCGTGTATTATTATGAAGTGTATGTCAAAAGCAAGGGCCAGCAAGGGTAAGGACCATGATGCTGGAATGATCTGAATCTATAGGGGTCTCACCAATCTTCGTCAGTGGGATTGTCTAACCTTTTTACCTCTTTGTATGGGATGCGCAACAACAGCTATATAGGAATCGGTGTATGTAATCCGATGGTGGCTCTAGACCGACTACCAGGTATGCTTATCAGTGATAATCGGCAAGTCAGTATTAATGAAAGACGGCATGTTTTAGCATAAACTGACGAGTTCCGCTTTTAATCTTTCAATCAGGCTGGGAGCCACAATCATGGGGTTATCATGGAGACGATGGTAATAGTTTCGGAGGCTGTGGAAGCGGGCGTCCGTTTGGTCCAGTATTCACCACTGGAGACACGATTGGATGTGGGATCAATTTTAGAGACATGTCGCTTTTTTACACAAAGAACGGCACTTTTCTTGGTAAGAGCAACGATTATATCTAGTAGAGCAAGAGAGGGGACATGAAAGTGGCATAACCGATATTGATATGGTATTCTCGCCGGACTTTAGGCGTCGCATTTCGTGATTTGAAGGGTCCACTGTACCCGACAGTCGGCATGAGGACAGCAGGCGAAATTGTAGAGGCGAACTTTGGGCAGCAAGAGTTTGTCTTCAACATTGAAGACTACGTCAAGGTAACAGCGGAGCGACTACCGACAGGACAATACCTTTTTTTGCATCCATCACATTCTTCATTAATCCTTGATTCTTGTATTATTCCAAATGTGTAGGACGAGAAGGTGGAAGCTTGGCAAGCACTCGAAAACTCTTTGCAAAATGCAGTTGCGACTAAGAACCACATTGGCACATTATCACAGAATTTGAGCCAGCTCGTCCTTTCGTATATGGTTCACCATGGTTACTCTGAAAGTGCTAAGCAGTTCTCGAATGACCTGGCTCCCCAGCCATTGAAGCGTCGGGATTCTTCTGGGAAGAGTTCGACATCTACATCAGCAGAGTCGAGCAGATATTTGCCCGTGGTTATCGATACTGAAAGACGGAAAGGTACCACACTTGTTGTTGCTACGAACGATCGCCTGCAAGGATGACCTGTGAGTGTATCACTGAAGCTGACTGGGTTTTTACTGCCGTGTATGCTGCTGCAATGATTAGTTATCAGACGGGCTATTATGACTGGCGAGATCGACCAGGCCATGGACTTGCTGGAGAAGAACTATCCAGGCATCATAACCAATGATCCAGAGATGGTCCTTCAACTACGCTGCCGCAAGTTTGTAGAGATGGTCCACCAAGCATCACATCCGCTCCACACTTTGGACCACCAGAAAAGTTGTGTCGATAATGGAAGTGGACTCATCAGGCACTCTGTAGTTGACACAGAACTGAAGGACAGGAACTTTGTTGAACATATGGAAGTGGACCAGGACAACGCAGACACAGCTCATGCTGGAGCCGAGAACGAGGAACTTGAGGGCCTAGGCATGCTAAAGGATGCAATTCAGTATGGCCAGTTCCTGCAGGAGCAGTACAAGGATAATAGGCGACAATCTGTGCAGGAGATGTTGATCAATGCATTTGCTGTTCTGGCTTATGCAGACGTAGATCACTCTGGATCGGGGCACAATCCCGGCACAAGGCCTATATCGCGCGAACAGGTCGCCAACACTGTCAATACTACTATCCTTGGTAAGCATTGTACTCTACGTCGCGTGGAAATATACAAAAGGGCGACGATGCTGACTAAACTTATTAACTGGTGCCTTTTTAGCATCACAAAACCTTCCGACGACTGCACCCCTGGAGACATTGTATCGGCAGACGAGCGTGGTCATGTCAGAGCTAACGCGCTTGGGCGTAGGCGAGGCTGCGTTCTTTGACCTTGACAAAGACTGTCTAAAATAGTGGCCATCCAGCCTTGTTAATAAAGCGAGCTGTACGTTTCGGATTCAGAATTCAATGACACAAAAGATATTAGTCCACTCAGTTCTAAAGGCGCGCAGCGCTTTCCCGCTGAAATAACGGAGGAAAGCAGAAGCGTGCAAGCTGTACTTGTAAATATCCACAAACTAGTGCCTTATGTTTTATTTTCGTCGCTTTGCGCCCGTGTAAGTTTCAAAATGGCGCTTTCTCGCTTCTGTCTTTTGTCGTTGCTGACTCCCTAGTGCACCTCCAAACAGAAGAAAGCACTCTTTTAGAACTGAGGAGACTATTCTTGCACAGCAGCGTACAATTACATTACGAGATTTATTAACATTATTCTACACGCATAGATAATTATTTTAAATCACCTTGCTCAGCGGCTGCGAGTGTGATGAGGATGTGCGTGTGCATTGGAGTATCCAAAGACATGTTCCATAAACTGCTGGAATGTCCACTTCTCAGACTTGTGGCGTCTGGCAATTTGCTCGATCGTCGTGGCTCGCTGCTTGAACGGGTGCACATTCTGAGACATGGCTAGCATCGATGCGGAAAACGCTGACGACACGGTCGCACTTGATGATGATGGCGGTGGGCCGAGCAGAGTGTGTCCTGTCGAGTGGCCATGCTGCTGATGCTGCTGCAGTTGATGTTGATACTGACCCTGTTGTTGCTGATTCGTGTATATCTGCTGCTGTACATTCACACTCGCTGCCAAGCTTGATGATGTCGATAGAGATCCTCCTGGCGCTCCTGCTCCTCCTGATGCTGCTGTAGAAGTAACAGCGCCATCAACAGAGGCTCCCCCTACCCCGCTTCCTGCTGCTCCTCCTCCTCCTGTGGCACTATTACCACCTGCGGCACTCACAGTACCAGTCGCTCCATTTGCACTACCCGTATTACTGAGCAAAGACGAGACAGATGCCGCATTTGGTCCGCTACCTACGTTCACCAGACTGTTAATGCTCGCACCCAAGAGCATACTCGTGACTGTCCCTCCTATTACCGTCGTAGGAGTCGCCGGCGTCCCTGTTGCAGATGAAGATGCCGCAGCAACCACTGCAGCGGCAGTAGAGGAACTGCTCTGATTTTGCCATGTTCCTGCTCCACCTCCAGCCGCTGAAGATCCTACATTAATGGTTGGATTGGACTGATGATACTGATACCCATGCATCGCCGAGTTGATAGTCGATCCTGAGGTAGATTGTTGAACATAATGAAGTCCACTCATTCGATGGCTGTGTCCGCTGCCACCGCTGCCGCCGACAGCAGTCGCCGTCGTAGTGCTGGTAGCGCCAGCTATGCCGCCAATATTAGGAGTGCTAATGCCTATGCCAGACCCAATGCCAGTGGCTCCACTAGCAATCGCTCCCGAAAATCCTAGCGAGGGCGGCGTTGGAGGCAATGGAGGTGGGGCTGTTGCAAGTCTGGCTCCATGTATGGCAGTTTGCCTGACCAATCTGCTCAGCTGCGACATCGGAATAACCATTCCATCAATCAAAGGTCCAAACACTGGCAGGTTCGTATCACGAATGACCTCGACTGCTACCAGTTCCGAATGAACATGTCTAACGCCTCTAGCCCCGGCACAAGTCCAAGAGCTGTGATGAACCCGCACATCCCCATTGCTCCCCAACCGACGATCAGGAACAGGCGTAAGGACGATAATCACATTTCCAAAATCGCCTCCGATGGTATTGCGATCGTACGCTTGAGAGTGCTCAGACCAGACAATATGAACGTGGTCATTTCCAATATGGCGTTTCTATTTCCCAACATCGATAAGATGGTTATGAGCCACATCAGACAGGAACTCTCAGAACATGCATTATGCAGGGCATATTCGTTACCTTCTTGACCTGACGCGGGTCATCCGGATCTGTGGGCATTCGCACGACCTCATGGAAAATGACCTCCAAGGTCGAGGTGCAGTAATACATCGCCGAATGACCATTGGATCCGTTGCGTTCTAGTCCTCCCATGTATCCAGCATGGTCCACCAGTTCAACTTCCCAGCCCAGACCCTGCACGAAGCGGTTGTAGATAGCGCTTCCTTGGGAATTGTGCATGATCGCCTGCTCGCCTTCCTGACCCTCTCCCACATACAAAAGCGCAACCTTGAAGGTTTCGCGTCCGGACTTCTTGTCAAGACTCTTCAGGTCCCTTTCCAACGATGCCGTCGGGTTCAAAAGTACGAAGTTGTGTTCCTGAAATCGGTCAAAGCACAGCAATCCAAGGTGACTCAACAACAGACGGCTCTGCTGGGAATTGTCCAAGGGTCGCTCCGACTCTGGTGGCAGGGCTAGTTGGAACGCCTTGGCCAAATTAGAGGCATCCTCCTTACGAAGGCCTGTACCTAGCAGTTCCTTCTCTGGATTTCTGACGTTTGGGTCCTGTGGATCATCCATTAAAGACACACTCCCCGGTTGAACTTGACCAGGCCCGACGATAGTGCCTCTGTATCTCGCCGCTCCCTCATCAACTTGTTGTAAATTGTTAGGCCGGATTTCTCTTCCGGAGAAGCGCTTTGCTCGGTCATGAAGCGTGCTATGAAGTGATGCTTCATAATCCAGCGTTGTCGCCGAATCTGTGGCTCCGGTTCCTTCTTGCCTCTGCTGCTGCGGATCATCGGTGGATGTGGACACAGGTGCGGGTCCTCCCCAGGTTGAGTTGACGACCAGAGACATGAGTGTGTTTGAGCCGTGATACTCGTCAGCTTCTTCGTCCGATTGAATAAGACTCGATCGCAGCTCCAGTAGCTTGTCGTACCAGGCACGGGCTTGAGGATCAGAAATTCGAGTATAGTAGCTTTCCTCCTGGACATGTCGGTCCAACTCAAAATCGATCGTCGATCTCCTGTTACCTCCATTGCTGCCACCGTTGTTCAACGCGCGGTCTCCGGCATGATGTCCACCATTGCCATTAGATCCTGTAAACAAAGCGAGGCCATTATTGAGCTGGTTGAGAGGTGTCTTGCCGTCGAAGAGGCAGTCGGGATGCCTGTCGCTGACGTAATGCAACAATTGATCCAGCCTATCGCCATCGCCTCTTGATCCATTCCTGTCCCAGAGAAGCGCCTCCATACCGAGTGAGCGGTCGGACTGTGGAGAATTAGCAGTGACGGCGGAGGACGGATCAATCTTGGCCTTTCCATGATCCTCATCGTCTCGGATTTTGATTCCTTCTCTCCAGAGAAGTTGGCTGGCCATCTCCTTCTTGCGCCTTCTTGAGCCCGATCCAAACCGCTCACTCATTCTTGACCCTGCCCTCTGGACTGATCGCGGTCGAACAACGCCGTCCACTTGGAGCATCTCCCTGTAAAAGATCTCTGAATCCCAGGCATATCGACCGGTCTCGTCACGGATGACGACTCGAGTCCGATGATGAAAGCCCATAGATGCAGCCGTGGACACATCCTCAAGGGTGATGAGGATAGAGTCGTTCAATGCAAAGACCTTTTGATTTTCTAGTCCATGGCTCTTCTTGTCGATCCCAACGGCAGACTGTTCTTCAGCCTTAAATCCAGCTGTATCCATACCCATTGTGACTAAAGCTTGATTAGACTCATAAGGCGACGATATGTTGTTCATAAAGTGTACTAGGTGAACTAAAGTCGTTTCTGCAGCCTCCTTCACCGTCTGCTGCTCTACTTCGACGTCAATTAAGGGACCAGTACTAATCATGACTCGATGGTGTTGGTGAATCGTTTGGCCTGTGTGCCTGAAATTTGGACCTCTCTTCTTGCCTGCGCCAAGCCGTTGCTGCTGGTTGAATTGCTGTTGTTGCTGTTGTTGCAGCAGCTGCTGTTGCTGCTTTGTTGCCTGTAATGCACGCTTGCGATCGTTCTCTCCAGTCGGATCCGGTGCAGATAAGAGGCCGATTTCAATCACATCGAAGACCCATTTCGAAAGTTCGATCTCTGAAAAGATGCTGGCAGGGATCACTATCAGCCACTCCGTCAAACAGCGATATAGTAATGCAATAGTGTGTCCCCGGCGAGGATCGCTCTGGAACAGCGTTAAATGCTCCTGCATGGCGCTCAATAAATGTGAAAGCACCATTTCCAGGATAATCTACTTGCCGCGAAAGGTCAATATGAAAAACATCGGGTAAGTTAACAATCATGACGCCATTGATAGGCGCATACAGCATGCAGAACACTCCATGCTTCGTCCCGACTTACCCAGCCACTGTCTTCATGGTCTTGATACATGCCTGCAAGCGTCGTGATCGCCTCAACAGCACTCTGCACAATGCTGGTCTCTGTCCAGTATAAGTGATTCAACACCAAAAGCAGAAGCTCGCTTTCCGTTCCAATATCGCACGTCTCCAAACTGGAGCGCCATTCGTTGACAACAAGCATTCCACAAAGTTGAATCAGCATGCTGTGAGTGTCCCAGAATTTCCCTAATGGCTTCACGTTAGCTTCCGCCGAGGTGAGATCTAGAACCAACCGCGAAAATGCGACCTTGTGAGGTAACAAGTCTACTAGACTAAACCCTTGCTCTTTGAGGTTTGCAATATGAATCGAGTCTTTCTGGCCAAAGTCATAAAACAGCATGCTGACGGAGCACAGAATGGCAATAGCCTGCTTCCTGATAAAATGGTTGACGCCGTCTCTCAAGTGTCCGTCCTTGAGCAGCTAATTACGATCCGATGAATGGATGGGGTGTTCAGCACACATTACTTCCACGCTCAGATTGAAGATAGCATGGATCAATGCCGGCGACGACGCTTACCATTTGTCTAATTGCACTCATGAAAGGTACAACCAAGATATGGCTGCCGGGAAGCGACAATGTGAAAAGTCGGCTGCTGTTTGCAAGAATTGAGTGCCCGATCATGGCATCGTCAATTTGCAACCCCTAATAGTAATCGAACACCGAATAACTTGATAGTTAGCACGCGATTCTAGCATGAAAGTCAATGCACACTTTCTACGGTTGCTGAAAGTTTTACCTGCATGATGGTTTCATAAAACAGCTGATAGTACTCGGGATCAAAGTCCTGATCGAAACGACGGTTCATCATTCGACAGAGTCCACCATAGATCGCTGGCAATCCAACGCCCCCATCGCTGCTACTTTTCGCAGCCTCGAAAAACCAAGGCGCAAAGTCATACAGCGGTGGAATGAGCTTTGTGTTGAGGGATTGCGAAGCCCTTGTCTGGTTAAGTAAATCCCAGATATCGATAAGGCAAAGCATCACCTCGGTCTTCACGAGAGGGATCTACATTGAGATAATTAAAGTAAGATGGCTACGTTGCAGGAAAAATATTCACGGCGGCCATATTAAAGCGCAATTTACCTGAATATGGTTTGGATTGCCAACAGAGCAAACGATATTCTTCCAGATTGACAACACATTATCTGGTGAACGTGCTTTCATCGAGATATTTACAAATTCCGGTGCAGCAAAAATGCCATACAGCGAGGAGAGTCGCTCCACGATCGGGTCTAGATGCAGGCTGTCCGGGCCACGAAAGGACAGCGAGGATGCACGCGACAGCTGCAGTAGAGATCACGGCCAGGAGACATAAGAAACCGATATCATTCATATCATCGGCTGTTTAACACATTGGCTAGACATACCTTTTCGTCCGTCGCGTCCGGTGTTTCTGTTAAAGCAGATACATGTAGCCCGGGATGATCGTACGCCTCCTCTTCATCCACTTCTCCAACGTCCACCTTCATACTCAGCTGGCTCTCGCGCCCCGCCTCTCGGCCTGGTAAGAATCCCATATGCCCCAGAAGTGTAGGCGCATACATAGGGGTTCCACTCGCATTAGAATTTGGTCCGACTTGTTTCGCAGGATCATAGTGTATGCTATTGGCCCGACGAGAAGATCTCTCCTGTAAGCTCAAACCAGAGAGAGGATATGTCTGATGCGAATAGGAAACTCCTTGGGATGACAGCAATTCTCCGCCGATCGAATGGCGCATCGGATTCTCAGTCTTTGAAGAAAGAAATCGAGAATGCCGGAACTTGTCCGACATTTTGCGGATATGCCGTGTTGCGGACGCCTGCGGTGGTCGAGATGGTTGAGCCTCCAGATCCACCTGGAAAACCTCTTGCGAAAGGATGTGGGTCAGCCGTATAGACCATTTCTATAAAGGTGGGAAGATATTGCCATCAAGAGAGAAGCGCCGAATGTTAGATATAGCTCTTCAAAATCGTCTCACAGGTCCAACCTTCATGTCCTTCGATGCAATAGCACTTACAGCCCATTGAGTGACTGTCTGAGGAAAGCGAAGACCGTCGATCATCATCTTCCGCAGAGCAATCCACTGTTCCTCCGCTACGTTCGGGCATCTCGAATGAGCGCACAGAACGGTCTATAATTTTAATAATTTCGCCGCCAAAATTACCGATGCTAGGATTAAAACAGTTGTCGCATTGATTTCAAGGATACTAGCGCCACAAAGTCAGCATACCTCAATGATAAGCGATGTCAGGTCGTCGATTGAGGATGCAGATAGAATAGTCGAGAGTCTCTCATGCATGCCCATGACCCTGCGCTGGATTTCGAGCAACGATCCTAATAGAACCTCCCAACTCTTTGCGTCCATCTCGATCTGACCGCGTGCCATGATAGCCCTAAAGAGGCCTATGATGTCCTTGTAAAGATGATATAAGGCGTCCGAGTCCAGCTTCATCTGATTTCCGGTTGACCCCAGCGCGTCGGATGATGAATTAGAACCAAGATCGTGTAGTGCGACCGAGGTTTCAGCAAAGACGTTAGTCAGAAGCTGGAAGTATCGCTGAAGGAATGAATTGGCCATAGAGTAGGGCTCGTTGGCCGTGTTTTGCGGTGCGCTCTGCTGTGTAGTTCCTGAATCCTGGCTGCCAAGGGAGGTAATCGATACACTAGAGGGAACTTGTGGTCTACTTGAAGAGCTACGTAGAAATACAGGACGTTCCTCCTCACCACTCAGACACCAGACACCGACAATATGCACAGCACCTCGCACGATGTCCTTGTATTGCAGGTGTCCTGGTGGCAGACTCAGTCCTTGCCGTACAATTTCGTGCATGATTTCCCGATTGACTTCGGATGAGTAAACAATAGACTTGAGGATAGGTGTTGCCGGGGAGGTGTAGGTTTGAGGAGAGTTGAATTCATTACTGTCCAGACAGTACTGGATGATGAAGCTAATGATGGTCCTGAGAATCGTTGGTGGGCAGGCTTTATACCCAAATTCTATTTCGGCGTCGTCGAAGGCATAGGTTCAGACGATTAGTACCAAGGACAGCAAGATTGTTAAAGCCTATAGCTCATACGAGTATGTTTACCCAAACGGACCATTTTCTTCGTCCTTGATAAGCTGCAACGATCGTGCGCATTCGGGAAACACCTTGACGAGATAGTACTTTTTGATGATATCGAACATGAACCTGGCTGCAGCCAGTCCCGCGTCGATTCCAAACCCTACAGCGATGCCGTCGCCCATCTCGCCGTCGGTTTCTAGTGGATAATGCGAATTAATGGACTCGAGCTCTCCTGCTGGGGGTGTTGATCCTGCCGCTACATACGACATACGGACGATGTTGCCAAGGAAAATTTGAAAGAGCTGAATGCTATCCTGGAAGGTCGGAGGTGATGGACTGGGACAGATTGGTGGACCATCGGCTAATAGAACGCAAGGCAAGGTTAGACAATTGTAGGGCTCGCCTTTACCCCATACTTCATATATTCGCATAAAACGCAGTGTGACTTACACTGCAATAGCTCCTGGTTGAGGTTCAGGTGTGCCAACTCAAAGTACTGAGACACCTGCCTTGCACTTCTTCGCCCGGAACTTCCTGTGCTCAACACTGGCAGTCTCGTCTGGGATGAGTTTGCATGGTCGACTGACAGGTCTTCTCCGTCGTACATGAAAAGGTCGAGCGAGATGGCGTTGGAAAATAGATATATTGCCTCGGGGTATTCGACCGTCTGATCATTGATCCAGAGAAGAAGCAATCGAAATCCAAAGATGCGAACGCGAGGGTGATTCTTGTGACATAGAACCTGCGCCAACATGTTTGCTATATAGTGACGAAAAAGGCATAACCAAGGGTACATTAGTAAACAGCAAGTGCTCGTGGAAAAGTCGTAAGCTTAAATTGGCCTATGACTTACCAATTGGTCGTCTGTGCCAGCCATTCTTCATCCTGTCAGGCAGATACAAGAAGATGAGACGAAGGAGAAGCAGTGTCTTTTGAACCGCGAGGACCTCCTTGCTCTGCAGGGCGTTGTTGCGATCTGGCTTTAGCTTGAACTTGTCGACTTGGTGCCAGAACGAGTCGTGCGTGACAGTAAAGACTTGATCTGCATGCTCCTGGAAAAATTTCGCCTGGTCGAACTCGAAGGTAACATCTATGGAAGAGTAGAATATATCAGAACTTGCTTACATGAGCTACTCTTCTTTAGTCAAACGCAACTATATTCTAGACTCTTGCGATGGCCCCTTACCAATGAAGGCCCACAGCGAGTTGGCACGAGCTTTCGGCTTTGCCTTTTCGTCCAGGAATACCTTGGCTTTTTTGAGCGCCTTCTCAACTGACGATGATCCACTACCGACGATGCTTCCTTTGCCTTCTTTGTGCCCCGTGTCATGATAATCGCGGCTTTGGCTACTTGAGGATCCCATTCCAAAATGCGATGCAAGTCCAGCATGGAACGCCGTCGCGGTATGGGGTGGAGTAACAAACGATCCGTAGCTCGACTCCTCGGGAACGTGTGCGATCCCTCCGGGGTGCGTCTTTCGGGATCGATTGGAGGACCGAGGAGAGCTGAAGGACGTAATCTTGCTGAGGTTGCTTTCAAAATGTGACGAGTTGTTGCTGCTACTACTGCTGGGATGCTGCAGATGATGGGCCCCAGTGAAGCTCAAGTGTTCCTGGCTGTGGCTGGTCAAGCCTCGTCCTTCCGTGAGGCCCTGGAACGATCCTGGACTGGTGTGGACGGAGCTGGACAGTCCGTAAGAAAAGGTTTTGTGCTTGTCCGGTGTTGAGGGTATCTCAATGGCAGTGGATTTTCGTCGAGCCGATAGCAGAGGCGAGAAAGCCTGGCTGAAGCGGGCAGCGGCACTGGTGGCGAGACTTGATGCTGATATCTGAAGCGGGGCGACCGGTGGAGCGAAAGGAGAGTACACTTGGTGGTGGCTGCCGTGGTGTTGGTTATGGCTATGGCTGTGATGGGGCTGTCTGCTGCTGGCGCTGCTGGTGCTGCTGGCGATGGTGGGAGTGCTGTGGGTGTTCACTGTCGCGATAGGATGAGAAGTATGAGGCTGCGGGTGCGACTGAGAGTACGAGGTACTGCTGGCGCTCGATGAGGAGTCACTCGACGGCGGAGGGGGATGCGTCGTCTCCTGGGTAAGAGATGATGTCGACAGGTTTGGTCCCTTTGAGGCGATGGTGTCGAGGGGGTGGCGCCTCAGGGGCCGGATGGGATCAATGTCGTCGAAGGGGTGCTGGCTGATGGGGCCATGGGGGTCCATGGCGGCCAAAGGGGATGTGGATCCGTGATGTCGAGGAGAAGCCTTATTTATTGGTGAGGTTTTTGATGAAGAACCAAAGGGGTCAAAGGGATAAAGAAAGGGGGCCACCCGCAATTCAGCGCCTTTTCTCCCCTTTCTTCCCTCCCCATGGGTCTATGGCTCAGCTGTATAAGCACACAGTCACTCTACTCTCGGTGTGACCTTAATCTCTTCTCTTCCCCACTCCACACATTCTCTCTGTCTTGACCTCCACATTCATCCTGTCGGGCCTTTCAAATGGCATTGCCTCCTACAATTCCTTTCGCAACTACTACTGGAGAGGCTGCTCTTGTTTGTCAGCCATCCCACCCCTCCAGTCCTCCTTGAATATCTGTCAAACCTCAAGGATGATCCTCCTTTGATGAAGCGCGGTGGGGAATTGCACGGCCGAAGAAAATAAATGCGCAATACCTCACGATAGCTTTCCACCCCAAATTTAATTGCACTCTCTCACCCTTCTCATTGAACACTTTTCCTGAACTATCTTACTTCAATTCTTGATACTCTTTGTGTGCGGACTAGGTCTAATTCTTCACTGGATAATGTGAAAGATCCAATATGGAATAATCAAAAAGCAACGTCGCTATGAATGCATGAAGAGGTGGGGATGTCGATTTATCTGGAATTTCTAGCTCTGGCTCGCTGACAGTGTTGGCGCTTGCCTTTCCAATTCTGGTGAAGGGTCTGCTGCTGAAGGTACAAATGGTTGGAATGATTAACAGATATGATGAGCTCCAAGAAATATTAGAGGCACTAGAGTCATTCGTCAAGATAGCTTCAACGTTTCCATTCGATATTGGTACTCGTTGTGCCAGGAAGAGGCAACAGCAACAATAAAGAATAAAGAATAAAGAATGAAGAATAATAAAGGCTGTGTACAATGCAATATGAACAAGACCAGAAGAGCTGAAAAAAAAATTGCGGTCTAGCTTCATGTAACACGATGGTTACTCTCACGCTCCACAAAGAATGAAGCAGCATCCTTCTCATGATAGTGGCGGATGCTGCCGTAAAGCAGGAACTAGGGGCAGCAAGTACCGACTGGCCCACAGCCCCCACGTGTAACAGTGAAAAGAGAAGATTCTTTTATCGTGTTTTCGTTCTTCATAGATGTTTAATATTGGAATGGCAGAAGGACAGAAACTATGGAATGCCGTCGACTGTCCGCAATTCCTGGACTAAAAACCTTCACTTATCTGTGATTCTGTAGCATCGAATGGGGATTTAGGTCATGAGGGCGCCTGTGCCGATGTGTGTTCCTCGCGTTGTTCATAGTCGTCGCTTCTGAAGGAAGAGGAGTGAGTGGTGGTGGTTGTGTTGTTCCTGACAGTATCGACGCGTTTTTGGAGGTTCATGAATGTGTAGTGCTTGAATTAATCTTATTTTGATGGGACTGTTCTCATTGGTTGTTGAAGAATCATTCTGAGCAATCTATTCCTGACGCGTCTTGACGAGCTTCCAGTTGGGCGGCCAATAGGGACAGGGTCATCGTAGAGCGGTCAAAGCCTGGCACAAGATGCAGGAACCGGAGACTTTTCCTATCTGACTTTAAGCGAAGTTTTCTAAGCGCCACATCCATCACTATGCGAGTTTCGAAAAGGATCTGATTGCTGTGTGGAATTCTATGCGATTTTCAAGTCGCATGTCCATATGAACTTTATTTTTTGGATAAACGTTGATTGTCAATTCCTTTATTGATATCTCCGATCATTCTTCCTTTAATACTCGATAAAGCCTCCCTTACTTCTGTAGACCATCGCGATGCGCTGAGGCATGCTGTCGTACAGTTTATGGATAAAGTCTATGGGAATACTTGTCCATGTGTCCTGCACTCTCTCCCATAACTCTTCCATGTTCGCTGGTGCCTTTGGGCAATGTCCGATCTTGCGTTTAATATGCCTCCACACATGCTCGATCGGATTAAGGCCTGCTGAGTTGGTAGGCCACCGCAGGGTTTTGATCTTGGTCTTGGAAAGGAACTTCTTGACGGCTTTTGCGGTATGGACCTTGGCATTGTCATGCTGAAAAACAAATTTTGTCGGATCCATGTCATACCAATCCCTGGATTGGAGAACATAGGAATTGAGGACATCCACATACACCTCAGCGGCGATCCTGTCCCGGATCCAACAGGCATCCCCTACGCCGTAATAGGTGATGCAACCCCAGATCATCATTTTGCCGCCGCCACCTTGCTTGGTTTTCTTGATTTGAAATGTCCTGAGCGTTTTGTCTTCGGGCTTTTTGTAGTAGAACTCACTTCCGAAGGATCCTATCCTGCTAATTATGCTTTCGTCCGAGAACATTATATCACGCCATTGCTCTGCAGTCCAATGTAAATGGTCGCGAGCGAATTTGTACCGATTCTCGATTTGATCGTCCGTCAGATCAGGCTTCTTAGGCTTGACGTATCCTTTCAACCCTTGCTGTCTAAGATAGTTCCGGATGGTCTATACATAGACTCGAACATCTTGTGTCGAAAGGACAAGTTCCTGATCATCATGTGGAGTTAAAAGTTTTCCGGTTGACATTTTTCGGGCTAAAAGAGTCTTCGTGGTTTTGGAAACCTTTGAAGGCCTGCCTCTTTCCTTGATGGGAATATAGTACTTGTACAGTCCCCTAATCTTGGATACCATTCCGATCGATATACGGAGGGTCTGGGAGATCTCACGAATGGTGTTTCCTTGTTTGAAGAGCGCAAATGCTTTGGATTGATTGATTCCGGCAGGGACTTTATGTTAAGGAGCAAGTTGTTGAGAGTGAATATGAAGGGGAATGCAGTGTTGTAGTAGTGTTCAATCGAAGATTGGAGATGTGAAGTATAGAGAGCAGAACCATGGAGGATGGAGTTCTTATATACAAAAAATAAAGTTCATATGGGTATGAGACTTTAGCGCGAAGTATACTTGAACCAGGAGTCAATGAGAACAAAAGAGGGATCTTTTATTACAGCCACCGAGCAATTATGTCTTTTTTTTTCTCTCTGTGGGAGGGTACTTACGGGGCACTATCTACGGAAGGAAGGACATGGGGTGCGGCGCACGCGTATAGGGAGGCGGACGTGGGGGGATGTAGGCTTGTCGGTAGTGGTGGTACAAGATGGTGGTGTGTGTGGTGGCGGTAGTCGGAGGGACACAGGTCTTTAATTTTTTGCTGCGGGTGGATACTTTCACCGCCTTGTCCAAGCCAAGTAGCCCAGTTATTTTATGGCCAAGAGGCTATCTATCTCCCCTGCCAGTTCTTCGCCCATCAAACACAAGGACATGGATGTTAGCGCATCAAAATACACAGTTGTTAATGCCGTCGGAAGCGAAGAGTCATCCGGAGAAAAAGGACAATCTTCCTTTGAGGGGACTCTCTTTTTTTCCCAAAGTTTTCAGCTCTCCTTTGTACCTCCTCCCCCATTTCCACGGAGATCGTTTCCTTTGCAGGCAGGACCACGGACTATACAATTGTGTGCTAACGCCGCTTCACTCCTCGCTTGTCCTTTCCCCCTCCCCCAGCTTTTTTGACCTCTCCTCTGCAGATCATAGGCTTACTTTAGGTGCGGGTTCAGCCATGCAAGCTGATCTTTTTTATCGCCACACCTTGTGTACCTGGAAAGAGATACACTTTCTGTTGTTTTGGCGCATGACAACTAGATGTTATCCTCCAATCCATCCCGGCAGTTGGTTGGGGCAGCTAGGCCAAAGACTAGAGACTAGATAATATTATGGCTCCTGTTTGTGTTCGCTTCCGGATGGACACAACCAATTACGCCACATCAAAATGCCGGTCGTTGGGCTCGAAGAAATGAAAACGAAAGCAGTTCAATCCGGGGCATCGACTCCAGGAACGGAAGAGAAAGTAGGAGGGGAGAGGATGAAAGCAGAAAGATGGTTGCAACACCACTAACCGTCCACTTTTTGTCGAGTACCAGCAGGGGTAGAGAGAAGAGAGAGAAACCTCAATTAGGCTCTACCGCGGGGTGAGAGAGTGCCTGTTTGGCACTGTTCCGTGGAATGCAGGAAACATGCCTTCGAGGTTTCAAAGACGAAGTGGATGCCAGGGGGAACAATTATCTACCTCCAATCTTATTCTCCCCCTTCCTTCAATACCCTTCAATGCCGCTTTGTGGGTGTGGATGTGTGTGGGGGCTAAAACGAAGATCTCTTTGTGTCACGTTAGATAACGATCAATACTAACGCTAAAGCTTCCTGGAATGGTCAGCCTCGAAACCTTGTCGAGGAAGATCCCTCGCTGTTATATAAAGACTAGCCGTTGGGTTCCAATTCCATCTCATCCCCACCCTTTTCTCCTTTTCCTCTCCTCCTCTTTTGTCTTTTTTTTTTCGCTGTATATAAATTTCACCTCATATGCACGCCGGTCTTTCGTCCTTGCTGTGCGTGGCGGCGGTTGCCCTGACAGCCATCACAGCCCAGCTAGCCTCTGCTGCTGCCTCCAACCCTCCAAGCCAGGTGATCCAGGGCATCCCCGCCGTCAACCCGGTCAAGCAGCCCTGGATCTGGCCCCTCCCCCAGAACTGGGAGCGTGGTTCCAACACGCTCAAGGTCTCTGAGCGCATCCGCTTCGAGGGCAAGGGTGCTCGCCAGCCTATCATCTCTAAATCCATCAAGCGCTACCAGGATCTCATGTTCAAGAAGGAGGACTATCCCATGATCCCCTACAACTGGTCCACTACCGACAACAAGCCTTCCCGCTCGTCCCTGAACACGGTCGTCATTGATATCAAGATCACAGACGATCACCTCGACATGGACACTGACGAGAGCTACATTTTGACTGTCCCCGTCAGTGGCAAGGCTGTCCTCCAGGCCGAGACTGTCTATGGTGCCCTCCATGGTCTCGAGACTCTCTCTCAGCTTGTCCAGTACTACCCCGAGCGCCGCTCCTACTACATCCCCAATGTCCCCTGGAAGATCTCTGACTTCCCCACGTACAAGCACCGTGGTATCTTGCTCGATACCTCTCGTCACTACTACACCGTCCAAGAGATCGAAAAGATCATCGACAGTAAGCAATGACCCCTCGGCTCGACCATGCGCCATG